CCATCAGGAGTAATTCCTGAGTGCAAAGCCAGGAGAAGCCCCTGTGCATCGCCTGGTGTGACACCCCCACCCCCCCACCCCCCGCAAAAAAAAAAGAACTTGGTGTAAAGTTTTTTTTGAAACATTGATGCATAATAAAATTATGCAATAAGGAATAAGTAAAATAAAATTATGCACTTAAAAATGCTTTTATTATGCTTTTAAATGGACTGTAAAACCCTGTCTCAAAATGTATTGAATTAAAAATTTTGGTGAGAGGTCTGAGTATTTGTGTTTTCTCAAAGCCTTTAAAAACTTTTTGGAACTGTATGAGTAGGTTACTTTCAGTGACTTCTGAAGGTTTCTGGGTATTCATCTCAAGGAAAAGATTAGATGCGGATAGTCTATTGTCATGAGGCACTGTAGAAAAATAAGGAAAACCGCTGTGTTGTCCGTTGTCATGCATTCCTCCCCCCCTTTTCTGGAACTTGTAATTTTGTTGTCTTTTTGGGTATTGGGGGGAGTTCCCCCAAAAAGTGTTCAAGAGGCTCCCCATTGATTCCTGGTCAACTGGGCCAGCGATTTAATGTAAGTGCCAGAGGATGTGATGGTGCTGGGTCTACCCAGCCCACCCCTATTGTGCTGGCCATGTCCAGTAGCATACCTGGTAGGGCTTAGGTTTTCCTATTTTGGGAATTATTTTCATGGTTTTTTTGTTTTGGGGCTATACTTGATAATGTTCGGGGGTTATTCCTGACTGTGTACTTGGGCATTTCTCCTGGCGGTACCCAGTGGATCATATAGGATGCTGGGGATCAAACTTAGGTCAGCCACATGCAAGTCTAGCACCCTACCAGCTGTGCTCTTTCTCCAGCCCCTGTGTTGGGAATTCAGACCTGGGCATGCACTCTAACATCTATACTGTCTCCTGGTCCCTGGGGATTGCTTTTTTCACAAGCTCTGAAAAAAGAAAGTCAGACCGGAGAAAATAGCTCAGTGAGCTAAGAGCTTTTCCTGCAGCGGATCTGGCTTAATCCCCATCATAGCCACCACATGGTCTCTCAATATGGAGCCAGGTATTTTCCTTGGCCATTGATGGGTGCATCCTCCAAACAAAAATAACAAGAAATAGACCCAAAAAACTCTTAAAGGGTTCTTTTGTTCTTGGTGGGATTCTTACTCACATCCATTATACCTTTTGTGGACCTCTCTATTGCTTTGGTGACTCAGAAAGCCCAGAAGAGAATGGAGTTTTGGTGTGAACGTGACCTTAAAATCAAGGATAATAATATTTTATTTAAGTTTTTTTCTTTCTTTATGCCTTTGCAGGCATTGTGTCGGGCAGAGGATGAAGAAGATATCCGTGCAGCCACCCAGGCCAAAGCAGAACAGGTGGCTGAGCTTGCAGAATTCAATGAGAATGAAGGCTTTCCTTCTGGTGAGGGAGAGGAGACCAGTCGCCCTGGGGCTGAGGATGAGGAGGTATCCCGAGCTGAACAGGAAATTGCTGCCCTTGTAGAACAGGTCAGTGTTGGGTCCACTGTCACCTCCCATAGTTTCTTGCTCTAGATTGTTTTCTGTGGTGATGATTGATGGTGATAAAGGGTTGTGGGCTCTGGACACGAATTCCCTGTGTTTATCATTGTTGAACTTCCCCCACAGTTAACCCCCATTGAGCGCTATGCCATGAAATTCTTGGAAGCCTCACTGGAGGAGGTGAGCCGAGAGGAGCTCAAACAAGCAGAAGTGAGTATATCTGGGGGTGAGAGGGGGGAACAGAAGTGGGAAGCTGCTGCTTTCTATTCACTTCCCACTCTCTTGCCCCCGTCCGACCACCCCATGGGCTCTGTTGTTGGTAGGAACAAGTGGAAGCTGCCCGCAAGGACCTGGATCAAGCCAAGGAAGAGGTGTTCCGGCTGCCCCAAGAGGAGGAGGAGGGCCCAGGGGCTGGGGATGAGGTTTCCAGTGGGACTGGTGGAGGCAGCCATCGGCGCAGTAAGAAGGCCAAGGCCCCTGAAAGGCCAGGGACTCGTGTCAGTGAGCGTCTTCGTGGAGCCCGGGCTGAGACTCAAGGGGCAAACCACACTCCTGTCACATCTACCCATCATGCCCGCAGCACCTCCACGCCCTCTCGCTGCAGCCCTGCCAGGGAAAGAGTTCCCCGACCAACACCCAGGCCTCGACCCACTCCAGCTCCAGCTCCAGCTCCAGCTCCAGCTCCAGCTCCAGCTCCAGCTCCAGCTCCTGCTCCAGCTCCTGCTCCTGCTGCAGTTCCTGCCCCAACTCCTGTCCCTGTCCCAGTCCCCATTTCAGCCCCCAATCCAGTAACCATGCTTCCTATCCATATCTTGCCTTCTCCCCCTCTTCCTCCACAGATTCCTCCCTCTTGTTCTTCTGCTTGTACCCCTCCTCCTGCCTGTACCCCTCCACCAGCTCATACCCCACCTCCAACCCAAACCTCTCTCTTAACCCCTTCCTCCCCGCTCCTGCTTGGTTTACCTTCTATGCCTGTCTCTCCCCTAGCTACCAACGTCTCCTTAGGCGTGGGGCCTGAGGCAGAGCTGCGTGTGCAAGCCCTGGCATCTACTGAGTCACTGGTTGATACAGCCAGTTCTGAGACTTCCCCACTTCCTCTTGTGCCCCCTAAGGATCTGTTGCCAGTTGCTGTTGAGAACCTGCCCATGTCAGAGAAGAACCTTTCTCTCACCTCTTCTGCACCTAGCCCAACCCTGGAGACTGGCAGTGTCCCCAACGGTCAAGAGCAGGAAGTGCCAGAGCCTGCTGAGGGGACTGTCCTCACAGTGCTGCCTGATGGTGAGGAGATGCCCAGATGTCTGAGTGAGAGCAATGGGCTGGAACTCCCACCCGCAGCAGCATCTGATGAGCAACTTCAGGAACCCTTGGAGGCTGACAAGAGTGTAGAAGTGGTAGAGGCCCAGACCCCTTCCTCCAGTCCAGAGAAGCCACAGGAACTCATTGCTGCTGAGGTCACAGCCGCATCAACCTCAACCTCAGCCACCTCCTCACCTGAGGGTCCTTCGCCTGTCCGGCCCCCTCGGCGTCGCACCAGTGCTGATGTAGAAATCAGGGGCCAGGGGGCTGGCCGGCCAGGGCAGCCTCCAGGCCCTAAAGTGCTTCGGAAGCTCCCAGGACGACTGGTGACTGTGGTAGAGGAAAAGGAACTGGTGAGGAGACGGAGACAGCAGCGGGGAACTGCCAGCACTCTGGTGCCTGTCGTCTCTGAGACTGGTGCCAGCCCGGGAAGCCCATCTACCCACAGCATGTCGGGGACAGAATCCTCACCCCCCACCGGTGGGCCCTGTGAAGCTGCTCCCCCCTCCACTTTGCCTACCCCAACCCAGCAACCCTTCGTAGCTCGCCGTCGCATTGAGCTGGGGGTGACTGGTGGGGGCAGTCCAGAGAATGGAGAAGGGGCCTTGCTTACCATCACTCCTCCTGCTGTGAAACGTCGGAGGGGGAGGCCCCCCAAGAAGAACAGGTCTCCAGCAGATGCTGGGCGAGGGGTGGATGAGGCGCCTTCCTCCACCTCGAAGGGAAAAACCAATGGGGCTGATCCTGGGGCGGAGACCCTTATCGTTGCGGACCCTGTCCTGGGACCCCAGCTTATTCCTGAGTCCCAACCTCTTGGACCCCAGCCCCTTCATAGACCCGAGCCCATCATCCTGTCACCTGTGGAGAAGAGAAGGCGCGGGCGGCCCCCTAAGGCACGCGATTTGCCCATTCCTGGGACCATTTCGTCTCCAGGGGATGGCAGCTTAGAGAGCCGGACACAGCCTCTCCCGCTGCCACCACCCCTGCCACCACTCCTAACCTGTCCCACTGCTACTGTCGCCAACACTGTCACCACTCTCACCATTTCAACATCCCCACCCAAGCGGAAGCGGGGCCGGCCTCCCAAGAATCCACCATCGCCTCGGCCCAGCCAGCTCCCTGTCTTGGACCGTGACAGCTCCTCTGTCCTTGAGAGCTGTGGAATGGGGAGGCGGCGGCACCCCCAGGGCCAGGGGGAGAGTGAGGGTAGTTCCTCTGATGAGGATGGAAGCCGCCCTCTCACCCGCCTGGCCCGCTTACGGCTTGAAGCAGAGGGTATGCGGGGACGAAAGAGTGAAGGGTCCATGGTAGTGGCTGTAATTCAGGATGACTTGGATTTAGCAGAGAGTGGGCCAGGGGGTTTAGAGTTGACACCACCTGTGGCTTCACTGACTCCGAAGCTGCGTTCGACCCGGCTGCGTCCAGGGTCTCTAGTGCCCCCGCTAGAGACGGAGAAGGTGCCTCGCAAACGGGCAGGGGCCCCAGTTGGGGGAGGAACTGGGCTGGCAAAGCGGGGTCGTCTGCAGCCCCCTAGTCCTCTGGCACCTGAGGGCTCAGTAGAGGAGTCAGAGGCAGAAGCCTCAGGTGAGGACGAGGAAGGGGATGGAATCCCACGTCGCCGACCTGCCCCCCGCAGACTTGGTGGAGCCACCACCCAAGGGGACCAGCGCATCCTGCGCAGCAGTGCCCCACCCCACCTGACCGTCCCTACCGTTAGTCACAGAGGCCGCAAGGCCAAGACGTGAATGGGCGGCCCCCCTACGCAGGCTTTCCGCCGTGGCCCCTCTCCTTCCACAACCAGGCCTGACTCTGTTAACCACTACTTGAAGTCTTTTGAGGGGGAAAGCCTCCAGGGAGACATAGGGGCCTTCCCCCTTCTTTCCACCAAAGTAGGGGGTAGGCAACTGGTTGTCATGGAAACGGGGCTCTTCACATACCCCCTTCCCTTCCACCCCACATGGCTGGGCAGTGTTAAGGGTGGCAAGATAGTCTCTGTCCCCACCCCCTTGTACTTGATTCCCCAGCTATCTTTCACAGCCCCCCCACCCTTAGGGGAAGGGGGAGGGGCTTCTCTACAATGAGTTTTTTCTTTTTTTTTTTTTTTTTAAGAAGAAAAAAATAATAAACTTAGTTTCTGTATGAGCATCCGCGTAAGGAGGCTTCTGATTTTCTGGTCTGGTGGAGGGTTGGGTGGGAACTTTGGGCATTTTTCTCCTCCCTCTTGCTCTTCCAAAGACCCCACTACCTGATCTCTAACCCAGAAGTAATACATCTTTGAAGAGGCAGAACTCTCAACCCAAGAGGGAATTGGCAAACCCTTCCCTGGTAGGGTTTGTTGCCCTGAAGTTGGTTTTCAGTTACATATTTTCCCTCTCCTGTTCCCTCAACTCCTGGTCTTTTCCTCAGAACTCCGATGCCTTTGGCGTTTCCCTCTTGTCCTTCTTGCTCAGGTACTTCCACTCCTTTTCCAGAAGGCAGACATCTTACCTCCAGTTAATCCATCCGTTGCCCTCCCTTTCATTCTTCCATCTAGCCAAACTGGTTTGAGTCAGCCACACCCCTTTCCAAGCTCCTGGGGTTCTTCAGGTGGTGGCAGGCTACCCAACCCCACCCCTGGGTTTGGCTTGGAGCCCTGAGTCTGCTCCATCTCCACCCAAGCCAAATCAAACCTGAGGCAGGAGCCGAAACTCACAGTCTCTCAAGGCTATCGGCAGGTAAGAGCACCTGTTGGTTTTTGTACTTTTTCTTTGAGCTCAACTTCCTTGAACTACTTCGTTTGTTCTTCCTCTGGTGACTGTTTGCCTCTTCTGAGTTCTTTCCTGTGTTCTGAAGCTTCTTTCCTCTGCTTATCTTGCCGCCGCCCCCCCCCCCCCTTAAGCCCTTTCTAGCCTTTGTTGTACTTAGAGAACTGCAGATGGTTTTGGGGTTTTTGTGTAGTATGTATGGGAATGATTGGAAATGAGGGTAGGGTGGAGATTGGATGAGGTGAGCTAGAACTCAGGACATAGAAGCGATTAAGGCATCATTATGCAGGTTTCTGTGGGTAATGAGATCATTCAGACTGAGTTAATGAGTTGTGTGGTCTGGATTAAACTGGAGAGGATGTGCAGAGAGCTCAGTAAAGAAGACTTCGATTCAGGTAAGGAAGGCCTTTCTGAGTTGGTTTCTTCAGTTTTAAAGAAGAAACTTAAATGGGTTTAAGGTCTCTTTTACCCCATCCCCAGAACTATATTTTCATATGAAATGACTACTTTGGGAAGGGCTATAGGGTGCTAGTCTCTGATCCTCCTTTAATATTTAGGGACAGTCTGTAGGAAACTTTAGGGCCCTTGGGAATGTAGTTTAAAACATCACTCATTTACATAGATTCCTAGCAGCTTTGGAGATTGTGTTTCTCCTGTTTTTTTTTTTTTATTTCAATCTGCATTTCATAATTTGGTTTTCCCCCATTTAGCATAATAGTAATACAGATAATACTGTATTCATACTGGCTTGCCTTATTTAAAGGCTTGAAATCTTAGGCTGAGGGAAAAGGATTCTAGCTTCACACTCTTGATCTCTGAGTCACTTGGTAAGTTCTCCAGTAAGGCAGCATTCCTGAACAATTGGGCTAGGCATGGTCAGAGAAAGGGGTGGAGTCTGAGCAAGTTAGGTCAAGGGCTCAGTTGGGCTTACAGGTTCCCTGACTATATCGCCCACAGGTGATGGAGGACGAGGAGAAGGCAGTGGAGAGCTTGGTGTGCAAAACGGAAGCTTCTCATTCTCCATCCCCCATCCGTTGCTGCTGGCTCCGCCTCCGCTACTGGGCAGCTACTAGCATTATCTGTGGCTGCTCTTGCCTGGGAGTTGTGGCCCTTGTTTTTGCCATCAAGGTGAGGAATATAATTCCTATGGGAGCAGGAGGTGGGGTGGGTGCAGTGAGGCAGTGGTTTTGCACTATCTGAATTAACTACAGATAATTGATCATTTCCTAAGTACCTGGTAGAACTTCACTCTGACCTTGTGCCAGAAATAATAAGATATGGTTCCTGCTGTAAGAGCACCCAGTTTAATCAGACAAATATGAAAATAGGTTTTAATGGAATGAATGCAGCTTAGAAGTACTATAATAGAAACATGAAGCTTTCTGGGGACCAGGGAAAAGTAAGTGTGTGTAGTGAAATAGGTGACAGGAAAGGAACTTTAAAAGATGAGTGAGTGGGGGCCGGAGCGAGTAGGGCATTTGCCTTGCACGTGGCTGACCCAGGTTCGATCCCCAGCATCCCGTATGGTCCCCCAAGCACCGCCAAGAGTAATTCCTGAGTGCAGAGCCAGGAGTAACCCCTGAGCATCGCTGGGTGTGACCCAGAAAGGAAAAAAAAATTAAAAATGAGTGAGAAAAGAGGGGGGGGGGGAGTATGAATAAATTCTAGGTAAAGGCAGCAGTGTACAGAAGCCTGGTCAGTTCAGCATACTGATGAGAAATGGAGATTAAGGGCCAGTGATAAGCTCAGGAGTAGAGCACTTGCCTTGCATGTGTGAGGCCCTCGGTTTGGTCCTGGACACTGCAAAGAAAAAGAAAAATCAGAGTTCCCTTAGGCGTATGAGTGTCCAAAGCTGCGCTTTATTGTGGAAGTACTGGGGAGTGATTGAAGGGTTTTTGCAGAGAGTGACCTCATCAGATTTGTGTTTCAGTAAGACCCACTCTCAAGGCCTCCATGGAAGATGAATTGGAAGGGACAAGACTGAAAGCAACATGCAGTGATTAGAGGAATCTCTAGGAATCTGGAAGAAGCTTTAGGGTTTTGAGACGGTGCCTTCGTATTTTAAAATAGAAAACTATACATGTACCATTTAAAAAGCCACATAATCTAACAAACATCATGCTGGAATTTTCTCAATCCTAGGTGTATTTTAACACTCAGAAATTATACCTATCCTGAGAATTTCTGGGTTTCATGCGGGCAGATTTATGAAAAGAATGTTTAACGATAGGAAAGATAAGATCTGTTAGGCTCGAGAATGGCATGTTTGTTGACTGGGCAGGAGTAAAGTATTCCAAGTTGTTTATTATTTCTTGCCAGGAATCCCAAATTTTGAATGAATCTGGATGAGTAAATAAAGAGAGGAAATGAAAAGATAGCAATGATTTCCCTGGGGCTGGGCACGTAGCTGTGTAGAAGAAGCCTCTGGGTTTGATCTCTGCACCAAAAGCAAAACAACAAAACTTTTCCCCTAAGATTACTTGTGAACTGAGGCCATTCTGGAAGGTGGTAGGGCATAGCAGGTAACATATTTTACAGCTGTGGCATGAACATTAGATGAAATGGAGGTTGAGGATATGAGTATAAAGTTTTGAGCATGGAGGAGTGGAGTGGGGCAGTGGGCACTTTGGGATAGAAGCAGGGGGAAAACCTAACCAAAAACCTGCCCCCACAGGCGGAAGAGCGGCATAAGGCAGGCCGATCCGAGGAGGCAGAGCACTGGGGGGTCCGGGCCCGGAGGCTCATCCTGGCCAGCTTTGTCGTCTGGCTTATGGTCCTCATTCTGGGCCCCCTGCTGCTGTGGCTGCTCTCCTACGCCATCGCCCAGGCTGAGTGAACCTGGGTGGCCTCTGCTGAGAGTCAGCTAGACTTCCTGGATCCTGCAATGTGGAATTGCTAGGGTCCGGTACCAGCAGAGGTCTCTCATGGCTGGAAGGATGGTGCCTCTCAAGGGGCTTTGGAAGAGAACTTCTAGCCCTTTCTCTGAGGAGGCGGAGCTGAGACTGATGAGGGGGAAGTCAGCTTGCTCTGTTCTTTCAGTGCCCTCCACCCCAGTACCCCCCAACCCTACCCCGTCCTATGGATCTCTATTCAAAGGTGGGGTTGAAGACCAGGCCGACTTTTATTAGAATCTGTTTTGTAATAAAGAGCTTTTTTAGTGGTGAAATCCTGTCTAATTGTTCTTCCCCTGCTTTCCCTGGGCCCTTTATGAGAACCAGACTTTAATATATGTCTAATGTAGAAATCTGCTTTACCCCTACCTAGGAGCTCCAAGAGAACAACAATCTTGTTTCTGTACTTTTATTATACTGGGAGTTTTCCTTCTTTGGAAAGCTTCCAGCTTCTCCCTCACATCAGCAAGGAGACTGAAGACACAGAGGAAGAGTAATAATGACAGCTATTTACTGAGTACTTAGTATATCCAAGTCTGTGTTCTGAACACTTTACATCAGGCACAGATTACCCAAAATCAACATAGTGACAGAACTGAGATTGAACGCAGATATTTTGGTTCCAGCATTGAGAGGAGTAGGAAAATTGGATTACAGCAACAGACAGCTGTATGCAAATAGCAGGATTATATGATAACATATGTCTACTTGGGAGAAGGGAATGTTGACCACACTTCTTGGTGCTCAGGATCACTCCCAGCAGTGCTTGGAGAACCATGTACTGCTGGAGACTGAACCAGGTTTGGCCGCATGCAAGACAAGTGCCTTAACCCCTATATACTCTTTAGCCCATAATAACATTTTTTTCTTCCTTTTTTTGTTTTGTTTTTTTTGGTCGGGGTGTTTTTTTGGGTCACACACAACTGTGCTCAAGACTTACTCCTGGCTCTGTGCTCAGGGATCACTCCTGGCAAGTTCGGGGGACCATACATAGTGCCAGGAGTAGAAGCCTAGTCAGCTGTGTGCAGGGCAGCACCTTCCCTGCTGTACTATCTCGACAGCTGTCATGATAATATTTTTGAAATTGAAGCACATCACATAGGAAAATAATCCAAAATAAATACACAGCAGAATAAAGTTTTTGTTTGTTTTTAAATTTATTTTTCTTAATGATGAGACTGTGCCACACCTGGTGGTGCTCAAGGCTTTCTCCGGCTCTGTTGTTGAGGGGCTCAAATGTGGTGCTAGGAATCAAACCCAGGTCGGCTGTGTGCAAGGCAAATGCTTTACCTGCTATACGATCTCTCCAGCCTACAGCTAAATAAGTTAAAGCAAACATCTGTGAAAACACCATTCAGTCCAGAAATTATTACCAGTATTCAAAAGTTTCCTCTGTAAATGGTCCCAATCACTATTCTCATTTCTTCTGTAGTTAACTACCATTCTTACAAGTATTTTAGTTCAGCCAGCATTTGAATTTATATAAGTAGAATCACGTATTTTCATTGTTTCACTTATTTACAATTGTGAGATTTAATGATATTTGGTATAGCTGTAGTTTTTATTGTTGTCTTACAGGTTTTATTTATATTCCATTATACGAGTATACTGCAATTTATTCATTTTCTGTTATTGAACTCTTCAGTGTTTCTTTTGGGGGATATTATAAAGAAACATGCTACTGTGGTCATCCTGTACACATCTCTTCAAGTACATGTGCCTTGGGAATGGAATCACTACTTTGCAATTCAGAAACCAGCAGACCATGTAAAGCAATTAAAAATGTGCACACACTAAAGAGAGATTAAAGGGGAAAAAGAATGTGGTGATTGTCTTAAGTGTTCCAGAAGGAAAAATGAAGAAATTCTTAGTTGGTTCCAAAGGTAAGAGTTAACCATGAGAAAACGCCACGTATAGGGCAGTGGTTCTCCAATTTGGCTTCATAATGAACCAAGCAAAAAATTTCTAACACTATAACTGGAAAGATGAGCTTCTGCACTGTTTGGAGGCCAGGTAAGAGACATGATGGCTGAGCAAGCTTTATTGGCAACAAGACCACAGGTGGAAGATGGTGGACACATGTCTTCACAGTAAAGAGGTTTGATAGGGAAGCACCAATTAGAATGGGTATGTTGTAGACAGGGTGGCACTAGAGTGAACAATAAATTCTGTGGGGGACTGATCCGTTGATATACACTACAAACTTAAAGGCCTGGTTAGATGAAGATAATTATCCTTTTTAGGCCTTGAGGGTTTTTTGGGGTTTTATTGTTTTTGAGAGGACCCATACCAGGCTGTACTCAGGGTTTACTCCTGTTGGTACTAGGAGTTAAACTGAGTGTCAGGAATTGAACTGGGGTCCAACCACCTGCAAGGCAAGCATCTATCCACTGTACAATGTCTTTAGCCTCCTTTCTAGTTTGTTTGGTTCTTTTTCTTGGTTGTGGGCCACACCCAGCAGTGCTTACTCCTGATAAGGGTCTGGGGACAATATAAAGTGCCAGGGATTGTGCTCGGTTCAGCTGCATACAAGGCAAGGACCATACCTGCTGTACTATCTCTTCATCCCATTTTCTAGATCCTTGTCTGGCACATTCTCTGCTGTCCTCATCACAACTTACAATGTGGTTTGTATTTTCTCTCTCTCTGACTCTCCTTATAGTTGTCTAATTAAAACTATTAAAAAGGAAAGGGGGCTATAGATAGTGCAGTGGGTAGAGTGCTTTCCTTGCACATGGCCAACCTGGGTTTGATCCCCACATATGCCAGTGGTCCCCCAAGCCCTGCCAGGAATAATTTCTGAGTGAGTAACCAGGAGTAACCCCTAAGCATCGCTGGGTGCAGTCCAAACACATACACACACAAAGAAGAGGGAAGGTGGGAACTGGAGATAATACAGAGATAAGGTCCTTGCTTTGCACGCAGCCGACCCTGATTCAACCAAGCATTGCATATGGCCCTCCAAGAACCACTCATCAGAGTGATCCACAGCTTCGGGTGGATTTTAATGCCTGCCTTTTACCCTCTAGAAATTTTGATTTAATTGTGTGGGGTGCTGCATAGGCATCAGGACAACAAATTTTAAGAGCTTTTTGGGTTTTTCTCTGCACCATGCTGCTCAGGGGGACCATATGTGGTACCTGGGATTTGAACTGTTGGCAGCATATAGTGCAAGTGCCTTACATCCTGTATTATCTCAGGATTCTTTTTCCACCTGTAGTGTTGTGGGCCACACCTAGCAGTGTGGGGGTGAGGATAGGATCAGGGCAGAACTATTTTCCCACACTGCTCCTGGCCAGTGTTCAGGGGACCATGGAACCATGAATCAAACCTGACCTGCAATAAAGTGCTCACCCTTTTTTGCTCCTACCATCACTGTCACTGTCCTCCCGTTGTTCATCGATTTGTTCAAGCGGGCCCAGTAACGTCTCCATTTTGAGACTTGTTACTGTGGCATATTGAATACGTCACGGGTAGCTTGCCAGGCTTTGCCGTGCGGACGAGATTCAGTAGCTTGCCAGGCTTTGTCGGGCTCTCCGAGAGGGGCGGAGGAATAGAACCCAGCTTGGCCAGGCTGGCTGCGCTGCGCGCAAGGCAAACGCCCTACCACTGTGCTGTCACTCCTACCATAGTAGAGGTTTTTTAAATTTTACAGCAAAAAAAAATGTTTAGTAAATAAGTCTTCATTAACAAACGAGCTCAACAATTTACAATCTATAAATCTCACTTAAGTCTTAAATTGCTGTCATTTTAGCAAGGGAATATTAAAACCAGATTTTAGAGTCACTTGATTTACCAGAGATTTGGAAAACAAGGCACAACTTCAGAATTCTTTCAACTTTCTCTAAAACCCAGGGCGGTGGCTTCAGCTCTATCAGGAGGAATCTTAATTCTGTCAACTTGAAATCTAATTGCCTGAAATAACCTTTCTTCACTCATTAAGTAAAATTTTGTTTGTATTTGAGATCTCATTAAAGTTTTTTGTTTGGGGGCCACACCCAGTAGTGCTCTAGGGAACTATACAGTTTGGGGAGGAAATGAGTTGGGAAGAACATAGATAAAACTGTAGCCTGTGAGCTTTCTTCAGCCCAAGTAAAACCCAGTCCCCCAACCTACACATTCCTTTTACATTCACATGGGGCCTTGTAAAAAAATTTCGACTTTCCCATATATCCATTATCCTTTTTGTCCCCTTTCTTGGCTTTTGGGACACACCAGTAATGCTCAGGACTTACTCCTGACTCTGATCAGACATCACTCTTGGCACTTGAAACGTGTGGATCAAACCCGGGTTGGCCTTGTGCAAGACAAGTTCCTTAACTCCTGTATTATCTCTGGCCCATTACCTTTCTTAAAACACATCTTGGGGCTGGAGCAATAGCACAGCAGGTAGGGTGTTTGCCTTGCATGCGACCAACCCAGGTTCAATTCCCAGCATCCCATATGGTCCCCCGAGCACCGCCAGGAGTGATTCCTGAGTTCAAAGCTAGGAGTAACCCCTGAGCATCACCAGGTGTGACCTAAAAAGCAAAAAAAAAAAAACAAACTATTTTTTGGGGTGGGAGTCACACCGGGCAATGCACAGGGGTCACTCTTGGCTCATGCACTCAGGATTACTCTTTGCGGTGTTCAGGGAGCCATATGGGATGCTGGGAATCGAAGCCTGGTTGGCCGCATGCAAGGCAGACGCCCTACCCGCTGTGCTATCGCTCCAGCCCCAAACAGATCTATACTCTTGATAGACTTAAAACCCCTAGTTTGGGGCTGGAGCAATAGCACAGCAAGTAGGGCATTTTCCTTGCACGCGGCCGACCCGGGTTCAATTCCCAGCATCCCATATGGCTCCCTGAGGACCACCAGGGGTGGTTCCTGAGTGCAGAGCCAGGAGTAACCCCTGTGCATAGCAGGGTGTGACCCAAAACGTAAAAAACAAACCCTAGTTTGGGCCCAAGAGTGGATAGCACACATGCTTGCTTCACATGTGGCCTACTCTGGTTTAATCCTTGGTATCACCTAGTCCCTTGAGTGCCACTAGAAGTGATCCCTGAGTGTAGGGTCAGGAATAAGCCCTGAGCTCCACCAGGTGTGACCCCCAAGGCCAAATAAACGTAGTTTTAAATGTCAATATATTGGTCTTTAAAAAAAGGGGGGGTACTTTTTTTTTTTTTAAGTAAGGCACTTTCCTTGCACATACCAGACTCAGTTTAGATCCTCAACGTCTGTATGCACTGCTAGGAGTAACCCTGAGCATCACTGGGTGTGGCCCAAATGCCTAAAAAAGCAGGGAAGATGGCAGACTCTGGGAATGGGATGTTTTCTCTGGTAAGACAGCTTTATCAGATGCGTTAAAAGTTTCTGTAAATAAGGTCAGGGATGTAGCATAGGGGATAGGGCACTTGCCTTGCATATAGCTTACCCAAATTTGATCCTCAGCACATGTGGGTTCCCCAGTCTCTGCAAGGCTTATTCCTTAATCCTGAACATAACTGGGTGTGGCCCAACTTCCACTTCCCACAAAAGAGGTTTCTGTAAATAGGGTGGGGAAGGCACTTGCTTTTCATGCATGCAGTCAACTAGATTAAATCCCTAGTATTGCACATGGTCCCCCACAGAGTGATCCCTAACGTACCACCAAGTATAGCCCCGTACCACAAGGTAAGCCCTTGTTTGCTATTCAGTTAACTTTTATATCAAGAGGTCAAGGCCAATTTTTTATCAACCAAGAGCAAATACAAAACACTTGAAGTCTTATTTCATGACTTTCCCTTCCTGAAGGTTACCAAAGATGAGTTTCAGTGCAAAGGCAATCACTGAAGCTTGACTGAGATGGCTTCTCAACTTCCTGTGATTCTTAGGCCATCTACAAGAGGCTTGATGCTGGTAATTGAACCAAGGTTGCACCATGCATGCGAAGCAAGTGCCTTACCTGCTGTATCCTCTCCCTCTGACCCCTATTTACAGAAACATTTAAGCTGTTTGATAATCATCTCCCTTTTACTGGAGTGAATATTCTATTCCCTCAATCTATTCTTTTAAAAACTATCTTGACTTCAGATCAATAGAAAATGCTTTCAAGCTGTAAACACTCCCTTTCTCTTGCCCGCCCCTCCCCTGGGCCCAGCAAGACAACCCCATTATCAATGAACCACATTTTTGGCCCCAATTTTTTTATAGGGCCCACAGGGGCCTGAGAAATAATAGTACAGTGGGTAGGGCTACTTGCCTTGCACGCGGCCGACGTGGGTTTGATTCCCGGCTACATCTGAACCTGTGTGGTACTGGGAAAGGACCAGGTACCAGAGCTCTCAGCTTTGCATTTGTTAGGCATATGACTCACTAGATGGGCCATTTCCTTGGTTCTTGACATCTCAGTTAACTAACACCTAAGAGAGATTCAGGGGGCCAACGAACAGTTACAAAACCGGAAACTATTTCAGGTCCACATCAAATTCTAAACATCTTAAGGGGTGCGAACTACCCAAAGCAGGTGCTTCGAAACTAACCACTAAAAGCCGAAATTAAGTGGGATGCAAGGAGGAGATTGCACAAGGTGCCCGAGTGGCTGCCGCATGCTGGTTACCTAGAGGTCATGCTTTCAGTAATAACTTCCGGGTCCGAGTCCCGGCCTCCAACCCGAGACTTCGGGCCACCCCCACCAGGCGCTGGAGAATGATTGGTCTATGTGGGGGCCCGGGTTTCTATTGGGCTGCCAGCTTCCAATCGGAAAGGTTCTTGAACCTTGGTCTGCCGGCGGCGCTGGCTATTGGTGAACAGGGTGGAGGCGTGGCTTGGGGCGTTCGCGGGCTCCTTCCGGACCTGGAGTAAGGGACGAGAGGCGAACGCCACGGTAGAGCGGGCTCCCGCCAACCCTGGCTTGTCTCTCCGCCCCCGAGGGTGAGCCTGCGCGAGACCCCGCGCTCCTCCCGGAGCCGACGGAGTGCGCCTGCGCAGCAACAGCCGCCAGTTCGAGAGTCCCTTCCCTCTTCCTTCCACACCTTCCCTTCCCTTCCCCCCGCCTCCCCTCCCAGGCCTGCCACCTGTCCCATTCCCTAGACCCTTTTGCAGGGTCTCCCTCGCCCTAGTCCTTCCCCACCCCGTCCCCATCCCCTAGGACCCTGGCGCCCCAGCCGCAGGGGCTGCGCCATCGCGAGCCGCAATGTGTGTCCACGCAGAGCCTGTGGTCCTCCCTCCCCTCACAACCCTCCGTTTCCTCCACACAGGCCACCTCCTCTTTCAGAATGACGCTGGACGTGGGGCCGGAGGATGATCTGCCCGACTGGGCTGCTGCCAAGGAATTTTACCAGAAATATGACCCTAAGGACGTCATTGGCAGGTGAGGCCACACGACCCGGGAGAGCAGCTGATGAGAAGCCTCCTGGGCTTAGCAAGGATCGGTAGCCCCCTCCAAGGATTCAGTCCTCCCCAGGATTACAGTTACACCGAAGTAGCTATAAAATGTGTAGGATCGAGTGATTAGTGGATGAACTTGTGGTGACTAGATTCCTGTTATTCAGTCCCATTTTTCACACTACGTTCAGAAACATAGTTGAAGCACCTGTATGCCATATTCAAAGTGAAACACAGAGTAGAAAATATGTCAGTGCACTGAAGATACTCCCAAGTGACATAAGAGCACTAAAAATAGCTTTGGACACTATTAGAGAACTGGGATGGGGGCATTTCAAGTTTGGTCCATGGCACTGCATGGTTCTTTTAGCACCAAATCTCTAGTACCTCCAGCTAGCCTGGTATCCCTCTGTACAGAGATAGTGATGATACGTGGTCCGGTAGCTTAATTAAGAATGAAAGCACTTGGTGCAGGAAGTAGCTCAGTGGCTCCTTGACCGTCAGGTCCTGGTTTGGTCCCTGGCACTGCACACCTGCGCATTCTTACAGGGAAAATGCTGTGTCACGTAATAGAGGATACCCAGAAATGTGGTGGTTCCATTTACTTTGGACATACAAACAGGTCTTAGTTGGATGACTGTAGGGAGACTTTGAAGCCCCTAAAATTGTGAAAGTATATCTTTGTTACAGATTTCAGCTTTTAGAAGATTCTGTTATTAAAAGATTAGTAACAATTGAGAACATAGCTCAGTTGGTTGGAGAGAATGCCTTGTCTGCTTGGGACCCCGAGTTTGATCCTTGGCACCCCATGGCATCCCTGAATGCTGCTGCAGCATGTCTTAGTTCTGCAGTACCGGGCTGGCTCTCAGCTGGAATGCTTCCTGGCCCCCTCAAGTAAGAGTGGTTAGACCAGGAGCTTCACACTCAAATGCCCTTAGTGGTTGGGCAAAAAAGAAAAAAAAAAACTGTGTAGTGGCTAAGAGGAAGACAATATGGTGTGATATGTGAATACCTTTGTAGAGAGTGTTGCACGACATGTCTGTGGGCTTGGCTGGCTAGAAGATCAACAGTAATCTGTCACTTGGTTGGATCGGAGATGTGAGTAATGACCCTGCCAAGTAGAGGGAGTTATTGGAGGACGTTGAGGCCAGGCAAGTACAGGCATGAGGGTATGTGAGGGCAAAGAGTGGAATCCAGAGGGTCTTTTTGAGCCTTACAAAATGTGGTCTGAGGCCAGATCCCGGAGATATGGACAACTTAGCTTAGGCGCTCATGGAGTAAGTAATACAAAACCAGGCAAGGGAGTCTTTATCTGGGACATTCTTTACGACAACGAATGGGGGTACCTCGAGATCTTCCATCATCCTGTCAAGATACTCTGGGCCCCATTCCAGAGCAGGTAAAGTAGAAGTTGAGACTTTGTCAGGAGATTGTTTGTAGGTTAATTAGTGGCAAATCTAGATCATGAAGAAAGGTCTTACTAATGCTCAATGCTGGTCTCCATTCGTTGACTAGAAATATTGTAAGGGAGCTCTGAGCTTGGGGTTGGGTGAGTGTGGGTACTGTCTAAAGGTGCCTTAGGTCATTCCTTGTCACTTTCTCCTTGTAGATTTCCAGGGCCAGCGGCTGGGGCCCTGTGTACAAATGACTGCCTTTGGTCACCGAGGGAGGGTTGGGGTGGACTGGCGGAATGGGATTGGAGTTTGTGATACAAATCATGCTGGCACCCCCATTGCTCACTGGGGTTACCGTGAGGCAGGGTGAGCACTCCAGTCAGTCGCCCAGTTTTCCAGATGGTCCTTCCAAGTCTGATGGAATGGGTGTGAGGAACGAGAGGAGGCAGCCCTGACTCTGCTCCCCGGCCTTGACAGAGGAGTGAGCTCTGTGGTTCGCCGCTGTGTTCATCGAGCCACTGGCCAGGAATTTGCCGTGAAGATCATGGAAGTGACAGCCGAGCGACTGAGTCCTGAGCAGCTGGAGGAGGTGCGGGAAGCCACTCGGCGAGAGACACATATCCTTCGCCAGGTCGCCGGCCACCCCCACATCAGTGAGGCTACATTCCCCACTCCTGTTAGCCGACAGTCATCTCCTGCTGTCTCTCCCCCAGTCCATTCCCCCATTGCTCTCATGCTTCTGTCCCCTTCCTCCTGGCGCTGCTCCACCTCAGAGCGTGGTCAGCTTTGGGTCCCCGCAGCCGCCTTTGGTTCTCCATCCCTCCCAGTAACAGCCCACGGCTGCCTCCGGGTGGAACGCCTCATGAATAGGCACCCACTCCTTTCCATCTCCTCTCTGCCTCTCTGCCTCTTTCCCCAGTCACTCTCATCGATTCCTACGAGTCTCCTAGCTTCATGTTCCTGGTGTTTGACCTGTGAGTATCTCCCTGCCCCTTTCTCAGATGCCACTGCTGCCTCCTCACTTCCTAGTGCAGAGAAAGCGAATCCGCCCACTCCTTCCTCTCCTGGCTGGAGCCTGGCCTGCGGGCCTGTGGCTCAGGCTCCTTTTCCTAAACACACAGTTGGAGGCAAATTCTTCCAGTGTAGTAGTTGTGAGTCATATCCAAGGGCCTGAATACCTCAGTCTTCTGGGTTTGTTTAGTTAGCAGAGAAGGATAACCCAGATTCTCAGTCATTAGTCAGTCTAATGACATGTGCTTTGTAAACAAATTGCAAAGGGACTCAAAAGAGAATCATTTGAATACAAAATACTTAAGAGATGCCTCTTGGGGGCGGGGGGGTGGGGGTGGGGAAGTGGTCTTAAATACAGAAATGACCTCACAGGATCCTGTGAGATAGCACACAGGTGGTAGAGCACATGCCTGGCATGTGCTGGGCCCTTAAGTTGGTTATTTTTTGTTTTTTGTGTGTTTTTTTTTTTTTGGGCTTTTTGTGTGACACCCGGCAATGCAATACACAGGGGTTACTCCTGGCTCTGCACTCAGGAGTTACTCCTGGCAGTGCTCAGAGGACCATATGGGATGCTGGGAATCGAACCCGGCTCAGCCGCGTGCAAGGAAAACACCCTACCTACTGTGCTATCGCTCCAGCCTCAAGGCCCTAAGTTTTCTCCAGCCACATACCAGCCCCACTAGTTACGGGCCCTGTGGCACCTGATCACACACAGATGGGTATGGCCCTTCAAAAAAAGGGAAGGGTTGGAGCGATAGTATGACACTTGCTTTGCAAGTGGCTGACCCTGGTTTGCTCCCCAGCACCCCATATGGTTCCCCAAGTACGGCCAGGAGTGATCCCTAAGTGCAGAGCCAGGAGTAAGCCCTGAGCACCACCAGGTATGGCCCCTCAAATAAAAAAATAAAGGGTCAGAGAATTAGTCCAGAATGTGAGGTGCTTGCCTTGCATACAGCTGACCCAGGTTTAATTCCTGATATTCTAAGGGCTTACCAGGAATGATCCCTGAGCACAGAGCCACGAGTAAAGTCTTGTACACTTCTGGCTTAAAAACCAGAAAGAGAAAGAGAGGTTACTGGGATAGAAACAGTGGGAGTATATGGCCCTGTTGTCATATCATACAGGAGCTAACAGGGGAAGTATATGGCCATGGTGTCCTATAGGGGCTAACAGCAATGTGTATGGCGCTGGTGTCATATCCTCTAGGAGCTAACAATGGAAATTCAAATCCCAGTGTCCCATATGCACCATGCACAGTCCTGGTAGACCAGCTGTCTGCTATCCCACAAACCTCAAGGGTTTTCCAGCCACACTGCCCCCAATACTGTGTAAGCACCACAAAAAGGAATGTGGTCCTCAGCTAGAGCTGCAGTTAAAAAGATGTGCGCTCACCATAGCCTGGAGGGGGCAAGCGCATGTGTGACGACAACCCCAGGGAGCATGTGTGAAAGCACCACAAATAAAGGAGTGCAAACCTCGGTGAACACTTGTGGCGAGCACTTTTGTGACCCCAGTGAGCATCCCAGCGAGCATCCCAGCAGGCATGTATATAGCCTGTCCAGGACAAGGACAGCATGGGGGAGGGGGATGAAAATAAACTGGGGAGAGATAGTTCAAAGAGTTATGTGCCTTGCATGCATGAGGTCCTGAATTCTATCCCTGGCACCTCATGGCCCTCTGCAATGCTGGGTATAACCCTGGAGGCCCTTTTGGGCCTACCGGGGAGATTCAAAAAATAAAATTTAAGAGCAATTGAGAGCCAGAGAGATAGCAAGGAGATTAAGGTAGCTTGCCTTGCAGCCAGTCTCAGTTTGATTCCTTGCATCATGTATGGTTCCTCTAGCATCACCAGAGGTGACCCCTGGCCAGGAGTCCTAAGCACCACTGGGTGTGGCCCCCCAAACAAAAATTATAATTGAAAAAAAAAATCATGTAAGTCAAAGCAGTAGCAGTAGGTATCTTTACATGCCACCATTTAAATTTACAAAACAGTTACTCTACCTGGGAAGTACCTATCTGGTTTGGTTTGGTTTGGTTTGGTTTGGTTTGGTTTGGTTTGGTTCTGTAGGGGACAGTCCTGACAGAAGTTGACTCTTAATGCCCAGGAGCCACTAGGGCTATTCTTTAATTTAGGGGACTCAGGGACGCCTCTGCTGACCCGTGACTCCTCCATGCAGCCAGAGCGGCTTGGTGATCAAGTCCTTCAGTACTGTGTTTGAGCCCAGAATTGCTGGGGACTTCAGGACCATTCCTGGCTGTGCCCGCTGGGGCAGGGGCCGCAGCTCTATCCTGTTAGCTGTATTTCCTTGGTCCTGTAATCTTTTAAGTTTTTCTAATTAAATGTTTTTCACTTGGGAGAGTGTTTTGGGCCATACCTGGTAGCACTCAGGGAACTAAACATGGTGGTCGGAACAGAACCTGAGTTGACCACTGGCAAAGCACTTGCCACTTTGCTTTGCCTCCTGTACTATCTCTATGGTTCCTGTAATCTTTTCATTTTTCCTTTTTAAGTACAAGATAGGGAGGTGGTACAGGAGATGGTGCAGCATATGAGGCACATGCCTGAAACCCAGCTCTGATCCCTGGTACCCTGGGCACTGCCGAGTCTCCCTGCAGTCTCTCAAGTACTGCCAGGCTAGCCTGGGTCGCCCCTGGCACCACAGGACCTGAGCAGAACATGTCCTTAAGCACTTGCATTTGAGCCTCTGGCCCAGTTGGCTGTGACCTGGCATGGCTCCCAGAAGCCCTGAGCACTGCTTTGGAGGCCACAATAAAAGGAACATTGAAGATGAAATCTTGTTCAATTCTTTTACTGCTCTTTAGAATTTGGCCTGTGATCTAAATACATTCCCTCCAAAGGCTTTTTTGAGGCGCCACGGCTTCGTGCACGTAAAGACTCATAAGTGGGTTTGATCCCTGCCACCCCACAAATTGGGGCTGTTCTCAAATAACAAGTTATTCTCCTGCTAATTATTATGAAGGCATTTACTCTTGGCAGCTCAGCCCCATTGTAGCACAGCTCAGCTGCTGGCCGGCCAGCCAGCCGCAAGCGTCTGGCACATGCTTGATATTCTCTGCCTGGAGAACTCTTCATCTGTCTAGGGCAGTATTTCCCAAAGTGCGGGCATACTGGAATGGTTTGGGGGTGCAGAGCACAGAGCCAGGAGCGATTCCTGAGCACACAGCTAGTGTGGCATAAGAGCCAAAAACATAAAAAGGTAGATTTCTAGGGTGGTGATGAGTAAACTTTTTTGTTCGGTTTTCTGATAGTGGGTGGCAGGCCAGATAATTTTGGGAGCCTCTGGTCTAGAGGAATTTCTCGTTACTGGCCTCGCCCTTGGGATCTTCTGTGAGCAAAGGCTTATTTTCTCAGCTTTGCTGTGGCATGCACCTACCTCCCAACTCCTGTCCCTTAGGATGCGGAAGGGAGAGCTCTTTGACTATCTCACGGAGAAGGTGGCCCTCTCAGAAAAGGAAACCAGGTAATGCTTGGGCCTGAGCTCGGGTCAGGCATGGGGGTGGGCGGGAGAAGCAGAGGAGACTCTGCCCTCCCTAGGTCCATCATGAGGTCTCTGCTGGAAGCTGTGAGCTTTCTCCACGCCAACAACATCGTGCACCGAGACCTGAAGCCCGAGAATATTCTCCTGGATGACAATATGCAGATCCGCCTTTCAGATTTTGGGTTCTCCTGCCACTTGGAACCTGGCGAGAAGCTTCGAGGTGAGAGGGTCTAGTGCCCAAGGCTTGAGGCTGCCTGAGTCCCAGGTTCCCAGGAAAGGGAGAAATTAGGGAGTACTGGGAAGGACTCTCTGGTGCTCCCTGACTGGGGAGGATGGAGCAGACAAGTGGCCAAGCCTGCGAGGGCGTGTGCCGAGGCAGCCAGGGAAGGAATTCAGCTGGAGGACCAGGAAGTCACATGGTGGGGTGCGGGGTAAGGAAGCTCCAGAGCTGGGCCTTGGAAGACCAGACTTGTGCCAGGAACAGAGGGGTTGGTGGTGCTGCTTTGTAGGGACCTCTCAGGGTCCCCGAGCCCCCACCAGGACACTGTCAGTAGTAGCCTGAGTGCTGCCTGGCCCAAGGCCCCCCTGAAAGTAAAAGAGAGGAAAATGTGTTGGAGGAAATACTTGTAGTGCAGATGAGAGACTGAAGTTCCAAGTGTGGGAGTGGGAGTGCAGTGGGTAGGGCGCTTGCCTTGCGTGTGGCCAGTTCAGTCCCCAGCACCACATATGTTCCCCCCACAAGCCCTACCAGGAGTGACCGGAGTGCAGAGCCAGCCCTAAGCACCACTGGTGAGAGCCCAAGCCCCTCTTCCTTCCTCTCCCTCTCCTTCGGTGACCTTGTGGTGTGCTTGTTAATAGCATATATACACTGGCGCTGTGAGCCGGCACCACACCTCGCTTATTTCTTTAAATGATTTCGATAGACGTAGCACTGTCTGTAGCCCTCTCCTATTGTGCATCGATTTGCTCAAGCGGGCACCAGTAACGTCTCCATTGTGAAACTTGTTACTGTTTTTAGCATACCGAATACGCCACGGGGAGCTTGCCAGTCTCTTGGTCAAGCTACTCTGAGTAGCTTGCTGGGCTCTCCAAGGAATCGAACCCGGGTTGGCCGCTTGCAAGGCAAACATCTTACCCACTGTGCTATCGCTGTAGCTCCAACTATTTGATAGACGTAATAGTTTTTATGTATATTCTTTACAGAGGAGAGGTGAGGGGTCTTTTCGGATCATGTTGCTGGTACTTAAACTGTCTCAGTTCAGAGCTCATGCTCCCTGTCTGGAGACACAAATCCTTTGGTTTCTACTCACACCTTTCCCTGCCTTTGTGACCCCCCCTCCCCCCCGTCCCTCTCTCTTGGGTGTCCTATCTCACCTGTCACCTCTCTCCATTTAGGATTTGGGGGCCACACTGGGGTATGCTCAGGGTCTCCTCCAGGCTCTGTGCTCAGGGATCAGTATACCAAACTGAGGTTGGCATCAGGCAAGGCAAGTGCCCTTATCCCTGTACTGTCTGTCACCCCCTGATTTTGGGACCCCAACTGGGCTCAGAGCCCTACATTCATGGATCACTCCTGGCAGTGCTTCGGGGACCCAAGTTCCTTAGAGCTGTAATTTAGGAAAGATAGTTCAGGAGGTAAGCCTTGCATCTGGCTGCTTTGGCCTAGTTTGATCCTTGGCACCACATAGGGTACCCTGAGCACTGTTAGATGTGGTCCCAGCCCATCCCCAAATAAGGAAATTATTGTAAAGCTTTAAAGATTCAGGTCATGTTAGAGTTCGGGTGGGTTTTTGGGGGTTCCTATATCTTCCTCCTTCATGACAGAACTTACTGTACGATTTGCTTGCTTTCTGGTAAATTACTTGTTCAGGTACATCTAACATACATCTGCACAGAATGGGTGTTCAGGAAACACATGAAAGAGGAATGAATTTCCCAAGTGGGTCATTTTCTATTTAGTTCCTTTTTGGGCCACATCCAGCGAATAGTGCTCAGGGCTTATTCCAGGATGTGCACTGAGGGATCACTCCTGAGGGGGCTAAGGGGTATGGGATACTCAGGATGAAACCCAGGTTGGTCGTACGCAAGACAAGCTCCCTATCCGCTGTACTATTTTAGGCCTTTTAAGATCTGGATTTGTGCCATGGCAGTTTGGGAATTGTTGGGATGAAAAGAGGTGGTATCTGAACTAATGGAAACTAAGAGGCTTAAAATCAAGTCCTGAGGCGACTGGAGAGATGGTACAGCAGGTAGGGCAACTTGCCTTGCACATGGACAAATGGTTTGATTCCCAGCATCCCATATGGTCCCCTCACCCCCATCCCAAACATGCCAGGAGTAATTCCTTAGTGCATAGCTAGGAGAAGCCCCAGCATCGCCAGGTTTTCTCCCTCTTCCTCTCCCCCACACCCCACTTCATCTCCCCATGGGAAAAGTAAAAAATCAAGTCATGGAGAACCCTGTACTATTAGTCTCGACTTGCTCCTGAGGCCACAATGGGGGAAAACCAGGACAAGGTTTTAACAACGGTTGTACCCAGTGCTTCAAGAACTCTCACATGTGGGTTAAAGAGATAGTTACAGCATGTAAAGCACTTGCCTTGCCTGTGGCCAACCCAAGTTTAATTTCTGGCACCCCATATGGTCCCCCGAGAATTGCCAGGAGTAATCCCCGAGTCCAGAGCAAGGAGTAAGCCCTGAGCACAGCCTGTGTGGCCAAAACAAACCTTTCGAGAAAGAAAAATGCCTTGTATCCCATTTGTGCTTCTGTATTTGGCGGTTGTGCTAATCAGAGTAGACTGTAGGAAGAGATTTAGACAGAAAGACTGGAACTCAGAGAAGATTCAAGTTGGATCTCCCATATGTCTTAGGTGTGTAAAAATACAAGTGATGGAAGGGGTGGGCTGAAGGATTGGACTACAGCTGGAACAGAGGCACTTTGTGTGTTCATTTAAAGAAGGTATGTTTCTTGGGTGGCACCCAAGTAATTTTGTTTTAGGCCACACCGTACTCAGGGTTTTTCCTGGCTCACACTCATTCCAGTGAGTGTGAGCAGTGCATGGGAGGCCACGTTGGGGACCACATCAAATCCAGATTGGTCGTGTCCAAGGCAAGCACCTTACGCGCTGCACTACTGCTCCAGCCAACCCACTTTTTTTTTTTTTTAAATGAAAGGGCGTTCAGTGTTCCATACCTAAGGTGGAATCTTGAAGTCAACCCAAAAAATCAGATTTTCCCAGGAAGGCCATTGGGACTCTTGGGAGCTTAGCAGGTATAGGGTCTCTGAGACTCCACCCCTGACCTCGCCAGGTCAGTCCACACTTCGTTCTGGCTCTGACGGCTACTATGGAGGCGTGTAAGGGAGCAGCACACGGCTGCGGGGATGGGCCCCAGAGACATCTCAGTGATCTTAGCCTTCTCTTCCAGAGTTGTGTGGGACGCCAGGATACCTAGCACCAGAGATCCTGAAATGCTCCATGGATGAAACCCACCCTGGCTACAGCAGGGAGGTTGATCTGTGAGTTTCTGCTCTCCCTTTTCCTTCTCCCTCGTGTATTATCTTTCGACCTCTCTGCTTATCATTGAGTCCTGTCTAACTCAGGTCTCATTCCCAGCTGGGCCTGTGGGGTGATTCTGTTCACACTCCTGGCCGGCTCGCCACCATTCTGGCACCGGCGCCAGATCCTCATGCTGCGCATGATCATGGAGGGCCAGTACCAGTTCACTTCGCCCGAGTGGGATGACCGTTCAAATACCGTCAAAGACCTGGTAAGCGGGGCCAAGGGTTGGGGAGGTGGGAAGCCCGAGAGCCGCCCCTCATGCGCTGGGGTGTTCGCTAGATCTCGAGGCTGCTGCAAGTGGATCCTGAGAAGCGCCTGACAGCTGAGCAAGCTTTACTGCACCCCTTCTTTGAGCGCTGTGAAGGCGGCCAGCCCTGGACGCTTACCCCCCGCCAACGGTTCCGGGTAAGCCTGAGAGTGTCAGGGTCCAGGATGATGCCTCTGTCATAATGATCTTTGGTGGATGGCTTCGTGGCACTTACACTGCCCCTTCCCAGGTGGCAGTTTGGACGATACTGGCAGCTGGACGAGTGGCCTTAAGCACCCACCGCGCTCGGCCCCTGACCAAGAGTGCGCTGTTGAGGGATCCTTATGCGCTGCGGCCCGTGCGGCGCCTCATCGACAGCTGTGCCTTCCGCCTGTATGGGCACTGGGTGAAGAAGGGCGAGCAGCAGAATCGGGCGGCCCTGTTCCAGCACCTGCCCCCTCGGCCCTTCCCCGCTGGGGGTCCTGAAGAGGAGGAAGACTCGGCTTCTGTCAGCGATGAGACAATGCTGGAGCAGGGCTAGCGCCGCAGCATGGGGAAGCCCGCCAAGCTTCTCTACATTCCAGTCCCTCCAGGCTCTCTCAGCCACTCTGCCTGCCATGGCCACCGTGTGATCAGTCTCAAAGCCCAGCCCTGCGCACCTGTGGCCACTGGCCAGGGCTTCACCATCAGAGCCGAGGGATGAGGGAGTCACTCAGGTAGCTCCAGCTGGCCTAGAGAGTTCTGCCCGCGTCACCGCCTATGCAATAAAAGCTGCTCTGCCAGGAAAGCCAGTGCCCTATGTCTGGTGTCCGGCTTCCACCGGGAAGCCCGGCAGGTGTTCAGTAGGGGGATAGGGATGTGGCCACTCAGACCTAGACTTTTATTGGGGAAAACCTTGAGTCACTTGGTCTTGTTCTTCCCTTTGCCTGGTGGAAGCTGAAAGGGCCGCTCTAACGTGACCAACTTGCTGTTGAGCCTTTCCTCGCTGGCCTTGAGCTGCTCTTCCACCAGCTGTTTGAGCTGCTCCAGCTCCTTGTTCAACTGAGTCCTGATGTAGGCTCGGAGGAAAGATATGTGACCTGCAGGACCAGGGAAAGAGACACTGGGGCCAAGGGACCGCCCCTGGCTGGGCTAACCATCACCAAGGCACCTCGGGGACTGCCCCTTGGAGAGCAGAGGCATAGGTGGGGCAAGGCGGGCGGGCTTGCGGCCAAGCAGCAGTGGGACCTTTGGCAGATTATTTGACCTTCCCATAGCCCAGTCTACTGTGTGAAAAGATAGCAGGGACACCTAGCATCTATGATGAAAGGTCGATGAAATGCGCTAATAAACATGAAAACAGGGCTTGCCTGGCACATGGTATCAACAAATGTGTGCTGGCTACTTCTGTCATCAGTTTCATACACTCATCCTTGTCTAGAGCTTCTTCCTCTCCCCAGGCTGTGTGTTTTATCTAGTTGTCATTTTGATCTTTGGCAATCTTAGACACTGTGACTAAAAGCAGCCTGAAGTCCTAATGTTCCTTTCCCACCTGCCTGCAGGCGCAGGGAAAACCCAGCGGCCCCAGCCCCAGCTCCTCACTTGGCTCTTGCTCTGGCGTGGCCTCTGCTTCCGCCTCCTCCTCCAGGATGACGGCCTGCTCTTCCACTGCTGCCTCCCCTTCTTTCTCTGCAAACAAGAGGCAGGAGCCAGGGCTGGATCATTTAGCGGATAGGGCACTTGCCTTGCATGCAGCCAATCTGGCACCACATACTATCCCCTGAGCACAGAGCCAGGAGTAAACCCAAGCTCCACCCAGTATGGCCCCAAATACTACCACCATCCCCACCACCAAGGCTTCAGCCTCATTGCCATCCCCTGCCCAGCCTCCACCTGCTCCCTCACCTGTCTCACCCTCTGGAGAGAGAGTGGGGGCCTGTAGCCCCATGTAAGTTAAAGACAGATCAAGTCGCACCTGGGAAGAGGAAAGAGACTGGGTCAAGAAAGCGAGCACCTTCACTGAGGTTAAGGAAGAGGTGAGGGTTGTCAGCACTCCCGGCCCAGTACCTGGGGTGTAAAGACATATTTGTAGAGCTTAAAGTGGCGGAAGTAGGTGTTCACCACATAATCTGCAAGGGCCAGCAGCTGTTCCTCCTTAAAGAGATCGATGCTGAAGGGGGGCCTCTGCGGGGATGGTAGGAATTAGTTCTGGAAGGAGCATGGGGAGCCCCATGGGACCTCATAGGAAGATGAGGGTGGTCTGTGTGACAGACAGTAGGAGATCAGGTCAGAACTGAAGGAGAGGGCAGACCCCCAATGCAAGAAAACTGACCCTGACTCCATGGCAAAAAAGAGCGCTGGTGAAGTAGCGGTAACATTCCTCCACATTGCCCAAAGGGGTTGCTGGGAGGGAAATCAAGATGTGCTGGTTACTCTTCAGTTTCTTCCTGAGAAACTGATCACAGACATTTGAAGCAGACAGGTGCAGGTTCATTTTAATTTTTTAATTAGATTCCTTTTATTGAACCACCCTGAGATACACATGTACTGTTTTAGGCCTGGAACAAAACACAGGGTTCCTACCCTCATGAAGCTCAGATTATAGTGCATGCACCAAACTAAGAAAACCAAGAAAAACCTAATCCAGTCCTGTTACACATTTGGAAGGAAATCAGTTCTAGAAATGGAATAAGGAAGGAGCTTGCAAAACTGCATCTGTTAATTTTCCTTGGGATAGTCTTAGAAAGTTAGCTTCTTTTATAAATTGAATACTTCAAAGGTTAAATATGTTTTTATGAGAATGATAGAACAAAAGGTGTCCTGTGGTCACTTGAGCATTCCCAGTCTCTTCCCTGGCTCAAACCCACCAGCCGCTGCCTCTTACCGATACAGGCCTTGTGAAGATCCTGGAGCAGGGCACACGCTGTTGATGTCTGTTCCCGTGAGAAGCCCTGCTGGCGGCAAAAGATGAGTGCATGAGCGAAGAGGTCCAGTGTGATGGCTTCTTGGAGGCTCTGCTCAGGATAGCTGAGGTCCAGCAGCTCCGCCAACACCCTGTGCGGACAGAGAGAGGAAGAGTAGCAGTAGGGGTCTGCTGTCACCATCCCATGCTTTGGAGCCAGGCATTCCTCACACCTTCCCAGTACTCTTTCCCTGCTGATCACCCCCTCCCCCATACTTCCTCATCTCCTCAGTGTTGGCTGTCTTCTCCAGCCTGTGCATGGAATGGATGTCCAGGTACTTCCTGTAGAGGGAAAAGAAGAGATGTGAGTGGACAGTATGGCTCAGTGCCATAAGATTACGACTGATACACTGGGCTGAAAGCCAGGAGATGGAGTTTGAGTTCTGACCCTTCCACTAACTGACTCTGTAGCCTAAAGCAAGCGCCCTCCCCCTCTTGGTCTCTTCCTCCATTGGTCTGGATGAATGCTCTAGTTCTCTGCATTTACAAAGTCTAAAGTTAGAATGCGCTCTTTCCACTCTGCCTATCCCTTGCCATCCCTAACACTGGGCATTATTTTAAAACACATAGGCCGTCCAGAGATTCTTGCCCTTGAGTATGCCTGTTAGGGGTTTGCTTCAAGTGCTATGGAAACACCATGGTTACAGCCAGCAAGCTAGCAGTGCTGGGAGAGGGGGGCAGGGACATGATCTAGTGCCAGGGATGGAACTCGGGCACAAACCAGGCCCTGTTCTTAATTCCCCAGCCCAGCGAGTCTTAGTGTTCAGATAGTGTCCATAGAAATGGGCATTCCACTTACACCCCCAGTCTCGGGCTCCCTGCCCGTGACCAGTATACTGCTCAACTAGGGAGAAGGGAGAGCTGCCTCCCAGGCATCTGGATATCGCATCTCGGCCCCAGTCTCCTCTTCTGTAAAACGGACCGGGGGTGGGGGGGCCTGGCTACTCGGTACTAAAGTAATAATGCAAGTGGGAAGTGTTATCTTCACACTCACCACATGCAGATCCGGGGCTGGGGTAAGGGTGGCTGCGGAGAGAAAGCAGACCGGGGAAGGCTGAGCTGTGCCGCTCCCGGTCCGGACGCGCCAGCTTGCCTTCTCGAGTCTGGAAAGCCCGCGCAACGCTGGTGGGCGAGGCTCCAGCAGTCCCTAAAGTACTATTCATGGGCCAACAGCCTTTTCACTGAAGAGGCCGGGGCAACCTTTTGAACGTTAGTAAACGGCGACTGTGGATGCGCCCTCACCGGAAACAAGCTGGCGGCGGGGTCGTCGTCTGCTGCCGCCGAAGCCAGGGTCTCCGACTCTGTCCTCACGCCAGTTCCCGTCCGCCTGTGCGAGTCGACCGAGCTGGGGCGACTGGCAGGTTCCCGCAGCAGCTCGGAGGGCTGTTCAGGCTCGGGCCGCGTTCTAAGTCCCAGGGACTGCCTGGACTTCTGACGGATCATGTCGTCTCGCCTATCTGCCGCAGGTGACCACAAGGCTCGGTTCCACCACTCTGGAGACCGTCGGTTCTCCGGGCAGGGAAGGTCAGTCGCGGGCAGGCCCGTGGGTATCAACGGTGAGCGTTGCTAAGGGGGCGTACGCGGAAGGGAAGCAGAGGGCTGCTGCCAATCAGAGAGGGGGGAATGCGCATGCGTAACCGGCTGCAGGCCGCCCCCGTCCGTCCCTCGCTTCCAAGTTGCGAGCAGGAAGCGGGCGGCGTCAGCAAGGTTGGAAAGTGTGGTTGGGTTACCATGGGAACTGCCTTCTGGCCAATCACGGAGAGAAGAGGGGGCACACGAAGAAAAAGCCAGCCGGAACGTCAGAGGCGGGATAAAGCGCAACCAATCGAAACAGGAAATGCAGAGGTTTCGCCACTTCCGGCTCCGTCCCTGGCGCCTGCGCACTGCACCGCGGTCCGGTGACGTCCGGTAGAGCCCAAGATGGCGGCACTGGGCTGAGTCTGCTGCGGGTGAGGGTCCCGGGGCTGATGTGGGCGAGACCCCGCAGGGTGGTGCAGTGGCGCTTTGGGGCCACCGAGCACCGCCTGCTCTTTATTTCTGCTTTCTGTCTTCTGCAGGTGACGGAAGTGCCGCCGCCGCCTTCCTGACGTCTCAGGAGACCCTGCACGGTTTCTGTCCGCTTCGGCCATGTCTGGGTTCGGCAACAAACGCGCCGCCGGCGATGGGGGCTCGGGTCCCCCAGAGAAGCTGAGCCGCGAGGAAAAGACCACAACCACCCTCATAGAACCCATTCGCCTCGGAGGCATCTCCTCCACGGTTCGTGGTTTCCCAAAGCCAGGCTCCCATCACCGTTGTCCGCTCAAGTCGTCCACAACCTCATTCCCTGCGCCCAGCTTATCGAGATCCACTTTACGGAACGCTATGGAAGGAAGCAGAGACCATGCCTGACTTCCCTTTCCAGATAGGGATACAGGTTCCCAGAGGGCGTGTGGCTTGTCAAAGACCAAGAGGAGGAGGCAGAAACGGACCGTGACCCTGTCACAGCCAAGTGGCTGCCTCTGCGGGGGTTGGGGCTTCATTAAATTGTGTTATTGGACCGGAGAGATAGTACAGGGGTTAAAGCGCTTACATTGCATGCAGCCGTCCTCAGTTCAGTCCCTGGTACTGCATTTGTTTCCCTGAATTCTGTCTAGGGTGACCCCGGGGCACGGAACACCTGGACACAGCTGGTGTAAACCAAAAACAAATCCGTGTCCATAGTTAGCTAGGGGAAAGTCCGTTTTCCCATACATTCCACTTGCTCTCCTTTGTGGTTGATTGTTTATTTAGTTTGATTGGGTTTGAGGGGGCACACTGGGTATTGTTCAGGGCTTACACAGGAATCATCCCTGGCCATGTCCAGGGGATCATACGGGATGCCCGGGATTAAACCTCAATCAACTGCTGCAAGGCAGGCGTCTTACTCACTGTACTATCACTTCAGCCCCTGTGATTGTTTTTTTTGTTTTTGTTTTTTTGTTTGTTTTGCTTTTTTGGGTCACACCTGGCAGTGCACTTAGGAATTACTCCTGGCGGTGCTCAGGGGACCATATGGGATGCCAGGGATTAAACTCGGGCCAGCCCCGTGTAAGGCAAATGCCCTACCCGATCTGCTATCACTCCAGCCCCCTGTGATTGGTTTTTGGAGGGTCGCCTTTGATCCTTTCCCTGGCCTCCTTTGTTCCTTGGTAGGAGGAGATGGACTTAAAGGTCCTGCAATTCAAGAACAAGAAACTAGCCGAGCGCTTGGAGCAGCGACAAGCTTGTGAAGATGAGCTCCGAGAACGGATTGAGAAGCTGGAGAAGCGGCAGGCAACTGATGACGCCACACTCCTCATTGTCAATCGCTACTGGGCCCAGGTGGAGACCTCTGCTTTCCTGCCACCAGCCCGCACCCAGCTGCTGGTCCTCAGATTACTCTGCTGGGAAAGGCCTCGGGGAAAGCACTGAGGAATCGGTAACACTCTTGGTGCTTTTTTCTTCAGCTAGATGAAACTGTGGAAACCCTTCTCCGACACCATGAAAACCAGGGAGAGATGTCTTCAGGGACAGAGGTGCCTGGAACGCAGGAGGGGCCAATGCATGACGAAACTCCTCTCACAGAACCAGGGACGTCGGAACTGAGGGGTAGGACCAGAGTCCTTTTGTGTTTGGGTAGTGGAGGAAGAACTCAGGTTATGGAATTCAAGTGTGTGTAGTGTAATTCATGTTGTAACACTTGTCTCAATTTTGCAAAGTACTCATGGGGCTGGAGCAGTAGCACAGTGAGTAGGGTATTTGCCTTGCACGCGGCCAACCCGGGTTCAATTCCCAGCATCCCACATGGTACCCCAAGCACCGCCAGGAGTTATTCCTGAGTGCATGAGCCAGGAGTAACCCCTGTGCATCGCCGGTGTGACCCAAAAAGCCAAAAAAAGGTACTCGTATTGTTGATTATGTACCTGGCACTGGTCTACACTTCAAGCAGGTCACAAAAAAAGAAGTCAAAAGAAATTCTGCCATCAGGAAGGAAATGCTTATCCTCTCTGAGTTTTGGGGTTGGCAAGGGAGGTATGGGGTTCAGCAATAGAGCACTGGTCTTGCATATATGAGACCGTGGGTTTTCCCTCTGACGCTGCCCAAAAAAGTTTAAAGAATCCTTGAGAGGAAATTTGATTTAAATGGGAAGGCAGACACAACTTATACGAGGCTGTGATCTGGTACCTCTGTGGCCGTGAGGAAATTACACCCCCTCCCCTCAGATGTTTCATTTTCGAAATAGGGATAATAGCAGCTGTGATGTTGATGGCGCAGATCCGCTAATGTCGAAGAATTCTGTCCGGAGCAGTTGTGGGCACCGTTGCTTTTACCCTTATGAGACTCTGTCCCTTCCTCCCAGATGCCCTGCCTGTGCAGCTGCGGCCCCCGCTCAGCGAGCCAGCATTGGCTTTTGTGGTGGCCTTGGGTGCCAGCAGTAGCGAGGAGGTAGAGCTGCAGCTGCAGGGCCGTATGGAATTCTCCAAGGCAGCGGTGTCCCGTGTCGTAGAGGCCTCAGACTGTCTGCAGCGCCGGGTGGAGGAACTGTGTCAGCGAGTGTACAGCCGAGGTTAGTTCTTCATCCCATCCTCAGAGAGGCCTGTTTCCATTTGCTGCTTTGTTGGTATGGTCAGCCCAGGATCCCCAGTAAGTCAGCCACATTCTCAGGAAAAGGGTTGAGGTGGTCTCTGTGATTCCTGAAGTTGCCCTAGAGCAGTGAGTGGAGGAAGTTGTTGGTGTGATCCAGATGGACCCACTACCTTTTTTGCTGGTGACCTTGTTGAAGCACTTGGCACAGATGTCAGTGGCAACTGCTGCTCTTTGGGGCACAGCAGTAGGTGCTCAGATCTTCTTGCTGCCAGACAGGCTTCTCTTAGGCTTAATTCTGTCAGTCTAGCCGCGCACTCTGTACTTTCCTCCAAGCTGATTCCTTCTTTGTATGGGGGATCAAGACTCCCGCCTTTGTCCTGGGAAACTGAGGAGAGGGCTAGTGGGTACTGCTGGGTGCGCAGCTACTTCCTGGGTTGTTCCGACTTTGCCCCACTGCTTTGAGGGTGATTTAACCTACACCCTTCCCAGGGGACAGCGAACCTCCTGGTGAGGGAGCTCGGATACGCACCCGTGAGCTGGGCCGTGAGAACCGGCGACTACAGGACCTGGCCACCCAGCTACAGGAGAAGCACCACCGCATCTCACTGGAGGTAGGAATTGGACTTTAGGGCCTGAGAATAGTAGCAGGGTAGGGACCTGGAAGTAAGGCCCTTCTATTGTGGGTGACAGACTCTGGTTAGATCCCTGGCACAGCAAAGGGTCCCCCAACCATTGCCAGGGATCACAGTAGCTTGTAGCTCTAAGCCCCCCAACCCACCCGAGATAAATGGGACAGGGAAAGGTCCCTCCTTTAAGTGTTTGCCCCTCTCGTTGTGCTAGTACTCAGAGCTCCAAGACAAGGTGACATCATCCGAAACGAAGGTGCTGGAGATGGAGACCACAGTAGAGGACCTGCAGTGGGACATTGAAAAGCTGCGCAAGCGTGAGCAGAAGCTCAATAAGCACCTGGCAGAGGCCTTGGAGCAGGTGGGCAGGGTGCAGGGTCAGATGGAGCCAGGCTCGGGGTCCTGCCTTCACCCCTCCACGCCCTCTTGTTTGTACATTTTCTCCACAGCTCAACTCTGGCTACTATGTGTCGGGGAGCTCCTCGGGCTTCCAGGGGGGCCAGATCACACTCAGCATGCAAAAGGTAAGGAGGCCCGTGCTTCCAGCCCCGCCTTTCTGTTCCTCGGAGATTCCCTTCAAATTAAAGGACTGACTCAAGGCTCTTCCCCGTCAGCTGTGCTGCTCTGTTCCATATAATCAGTCATTGCTGGACACTAGCCAGGTCCTAGGCACTGTGCTAAGAAGCAGATTTGGGGGACAAAACGGGCAAAAATGAGAACTTCCATGAGGATTCTGACCAAGGAAACAGGGAAGCTACGAGTAAACGTGTCCATCGGTGGATGATGCCGCCACAAGGGAAAGCATGGGAGGCAGTGCTAGAGCTGTGTTGGGTTTGGTTGGCATCTCAGCCAGGTGGCAGGCGGACCTCACTGCAGGGTACATCTCATCATACCTTGCTGTTCGTTCCGCGTTTGTTTTCTCATTTCTTGGTCACTGCATGTCGTTGATGCTGTACCCCTGTGATACAAGGGAACAACAGGGATGGGAGCCTGGCAAGTCGTGAGGACTGAGGCAGGTGCCCCCAGCCTTGGAGGCAAAGCCTCCACACAAAGCTGCGACACTTCAGCCTGCTACCAAGGCTTCCACCACGGGCCCCACTGCCTTCTGTCAACAGCCCTGGTTCTAGTATTGAATGCGCGGAGTTGAATTTTCTCCCACTTACCCATGAACCAGGAGAGTGCTGGGTGGGGCTCCAGAATCCATCATTGTCGGTGGGGAGGGGGGGTGGTTTTGGTTTTGGAGCTTACTCCTGGCTCTGCCCTTAGGGATCACCCCTTGCAAGCTTGGGAGACCATATGGGATGCCAGGGTTGCCTGCTTGCAGAGAAAGCACCATGTCATCTGACTCTCCTCCAGAGGGCCCTTTCAGGGGTGGGGGGGTGTTATTTTGGTAGTGCCGGGGATCAGACCTCAGGAACTCACACTTGTAAGGCACGTGCCCCAGCCAGAGCCCCATCCCTGGCCCTCATTGTTGTCTTATGTCAAGAAACTTGGTGGAGTAAATTGTAACTTGGAAGGTTTGAAGGAGCGTGCGTCCTCCTGTCCCTGGGTCCCATGACGTTTCCCACTCCATAGTTTGAGATGCTGAATGCGGAGTTGGAAGAAAACCAGGAATTGGCCAACAGCCGCATGGCAGAGCTGGAGAAGTTGCAGGCCGAACTCCAAGGGGCTGTGCGGACTAATGAGCGTCTCAAGGTGGGCTGGGAGGGCCTGAGTCTGCCCGCAAGTGTCAGCTTCAGCCCTGTGTCCTCTTGCTGATCTCTTTAAGGGGATGTTTTGTTTTGTTTTGTTTTCTGGTTGGCTGGGGCGGGTAGTCCCACTCCCACGGTGCTTGGGGAATGAGGTGGTGCTGGGGACAGGGACAGGGCTCCTGCTGACAAAGCTTGGCCCCCAGATTGCTGATCACATTTGGGCGTCGCCAGGTGGCCCTGCGGAGCCTTCCCGAGGAGGTGGTTCGGGAGACAGGGGAGTACCGCATGCTGCAGGCCCAGTTCTCGCTTCTCTACAACGAGTCTCTGCAAGTGAAGACCCAGCTGGACGAGGCCCGGGGGCTACTGCTGGCCACCAAGAATTCCCATCTACGGCACATCGAGCACATGGAGGTGTGACCTGGGACTGGGTGGTGGCTTCAGAGGCTCTGCTTGCCTGCCAGGATCCCTTGGGGATAGTCTTCCTAGTCCCTTAGCCTCCCTGGGGGGCAGGAGGAGGAATGGGTCCTCATGCTGCATGAGTCCTTAATGCGTCACCCTGCAGAGCGATGAGCTGGGGCTACAGAAGAAGCTGCGCACAGAAGTTATCCAGCTGGAGGATACACTGGCCCAGGTACGCAAGGAGTATGAGATGCTGCGCATCGAGTTTGAACAGAACCTGGCAGCTAATGAGCAGGCAGGTATGTCTGAAGAAGGGCCGAAGCTGGGCCTCACCTGGGACTGCTGGGCGCTGCGTGGGATGGTCACTTGTCAGACTGAGAGGTCCCAGTGCCTCATTGCCCTGTTGAGAACGGGACCTCAGAACCCAGCTCAGAGGCACCCAGTGGTCACTGCCTGTTGTGGCAGCAATGCAGGCTTAGCTAGGTCAGCCAGGCGTTACCCCCACCTGAGGTTCTCTGGCATCCTAGGGTCTCTGAGATACTTCACAAGAGCTCCACCCCCCTCCCCACAAGCAGGCCCTGCCTTGTGCTTTGGGATGAAGCCAGTGAATGAACACAACCTTGACTGGCAGAGCAGAGCAGAGTGGGGGTAGAGGAGCTGCAGAAGGTTGAACACCAACAGAGACCAATAAAGCAGGGAAGGAAAATAGGACTAGGAGAAAGGGTGTTGCGATATTGGATTAGGGGCCAGGAGCTAATTTAAATAGACTTTTTGTTTTGGATTTTGGGCCACACCAGTGGTGCTCAGGGCTTTCTCCTGACTCGGGGTTCAGGGGACCAAAAGGAATGGGGATCAAACCCTGGTTCGCCTGCCTGCAAGGCAAGCGCCCTTCCCACTGTACTAGCAGGAGGAGACTTAACTTTTGTGTGTGTTGATTATGTGCATTGGAAGAAACGGAAATATTTGAGAAATCTACAGTAGCAGAAATGATAGTCCAGTTTCTTTTATTTGAATCGCTGTCAGGCGAGATTGCTTTCAAGCCTCAGTTTCCCTCTGTAATGCAAAAGACTCTGCTTGTTCTCTTTTCCGCTGAAGAGTCGGGCCAAGCTGGAGGCCAGCCAGCCCCCTAACTCCCGCTCCTTCCCAGGGCCCATCAATCGGGAGATGCGTCACCTGATCAGTAGTCTCCAAAACCATAACCATCAGCTGAAGGGGGATGCCCAGCGCTACAAGCGGAAGCTGCGGGAAGTCCAGGCTGAGATCGGCAAAGTGAGAAAGGGCCGCTCGGGAAGCATCTTCACCAGGCTCCAGAGACCCCGCCGTGCCTCAGCCTTGTTCTCTGTCTTTGCAGCTCCGGGCCCAGGCCAGCGGCTCTGCCCACTCCATCCCCAATGTGGTCCCCCCAGATGACTCTACACTCAGTACTCCAGCTCCAGGGAAAGAAGAGGGTGGGCCAGGCCCAGTGGGTGCCCCCGACAACAGGAAGGAATTGGTGGCCGTGCCTGCCACTGCCACTGCTACCTCATCGGTGAAGAAGGAGGAGCTGCCCCCTCCTGAGGAAGACCCCCAGGTCGTCACCCCTGGCCCCCAGGGACCCTCCTCACGGCCCCGAGAACCTGAGGCCAGGCCCAAGCGGGAGCTCCGGGAGCGGGAAGGGCCCGGCCTGGGAGCCCCGCTGGCAGCACCAGTCCTGTCACGAGCTGATCGGGAGAAGGCCAAGATGGAGGAGGCCAAAAGGAAGGAGTCGGAACTCCTCAAAGGCCTCCGAGCAGAGCTCAAGTGAGACCCGAGTCCCGTCTTCCCGCCCCTGCCAGGCCGCCCCCCAGCTCTGCTCACCACGCCCTCCTCTGTGCCTGCCCAGGAAGGCCCAGGAAAGCCAGAAGGAGATGAAACTGCTGCTAGACATGTACAAGTCGGCGCCCAAGGAGCAGCGGGACAAGGTGCAGCTCATGGCGGCTGAACGCAAGGCCAAGGCTGAGGTGAGGGCAGGTAGGGCCCTGGGTGAGACGCAGAGGTTGCCTCAGAGTACAGCTCCCAGGTGGCCAGAAGCAGTGACAGCTTCACCACTGCCGCAGGTGGATGAGCTGCGGGGACGCATCCGGGAGCTGGAGGAGAGGGATCGCAGGGAGAGCAAGAAGATCGCAGATGAGGATGCCCTGCGGCGCATCCGGCAGGCGGAGGAGCAGATCGAACACCTGCAGCGGAAGCTGGGGGCCACCAAGCAGGTACTGGCCCCTTTCTAGCCCCTTCCTTCCAAGTGGGGGGGGGGGGGTCCCTCCAGTTCCCCATGGGTGCTTCCGGCCAGTGGTCCTGGGCCCACCTGTGGCTCAGCCGTGTTTGCCCCCTGCCCCCCCCCCCCCCCAGGGTCAGCCCATTCCCTGACCACAGTCCCCGTCTCTGCACACCTGCTGCAGGAGGAAGAGGCTCTGCTCTCGGAGATGGACGTGACCGGGCAGGCTTTCGAGGACATGCAGGAGCAGAACGGGCGGCTCCTGCAGCAGTTGCGGGAGAAGGATGATGCCAACTTCAAGCTGATGTCAGAGAGGATCAAGGCCAACCAGATCCACAAGCTGCTGCGTGAGGAGAAGGACGAGCTGGGAGAGCAGGTTCTGGGCCTCAAGTCCCAGGTAGGACCACTGTGGACTCACAGGGGTGAGCTGGGGAGGGACAGGAGGCACCCCTGCCCTGAGTCCCGCCCTGCCCTCAGGTGGATGCCCAGCTGCTGACCGTGCAGAAGCTCGAGGAGAAAGAACGGGCCTTGCAGGGCAGCCTTGGCGGGGTGGAGAAGGAGCTGACACTGCGCAGCCAGGCCCTGGAGCTCAACAAGAGGAAGGTGAGGCCAAGGGTGGCTCCTCTAGGAATACGAAGCAGGTCGCACTTGCTTTGTCCCAGTCCCCATGCTGAGGGCCATGTCTGTGCTGGTCCCATTTCAGTCTCACCATAATCTTAGGTTCACTTTTGTAAATGAAGAAACAGCTGTAAGGGGGTCAGTTAATTTTCTTCCAGGAAGAGTGACGTGGGTTTTGGGGTCAAGTCTCCTTGGCTCCGGGTTGCATACCCTTATTCTGATCCACCGCACTGATTAGCTGTAGAATGAGGGGTGGTCTCTCACAAAGTTACGTTAAATCTAAAAAGCGTGGGGCCAGAGAGCTAGTACAGCAGGCAAACACTGACTTGCATGTTGCCAGGCCGGATTCATCCCCCAGCACTGCTAGTGGTCACTGCACCCCATGAGGAAAAGGAGAAATATAAGAAATATCTTGCTCTGAAGTCTCAGGGTTACCACTGATTTCCATCTTTCCCTTATTTGTTCTGAAGCCAGTCCATTCAAGGCCTGGTGGGGTGGCAGGGCCGCCTGGGTGTTGGGAAGCCCCTGGGAACATGAAGGCTCCACCAGGAGTTGGAACTGCCAATTTCAATTTTAAGGGGCTGAGTGAAATGGTAAATGGTTTTCCTTTTTCTTTCTTTTTTTTTTTTTTTTTTGACTTTTTGGGTCATACCCCATGATGCACGGGTTACTCCTGGCTCTGCACTCAGGAATTACTTCTGGTGGTGCTTGGGGAACCCTGGGGTGCCGGGGATCAATCCTGGGTCGCCTGCGTGCAAGGCAAACGCCCTATCACTGTACTGTCACTCCAGTCCCAAAATGCTGTTCCTGTTGTCTCCTGAGGGAAGGAGAATAGGAGATGGTCTCTCAGGAGGAGACCTTGGGAGTGTCCTGAGAGGACTGCAGGGGTCAGTATGTAAAGCGAGCTGCAGGGCTCAGCACAGGACGCGGCACAGCAGGACTGTCGGGTGAAGCCTGCGGCCCGGCTCCAGCTCAGGGAACTCCCACCCTCCCTCCTGCCGCCACAGGCTGTGGAAGCCGCGCAGCTGGCTGAGGACCTGAAGGTGCAGTTGGAGCACGTGCAGACACGGCTGCGAGAGATCCAGCCCTGCCTGGCGGAGAGCAGGGCGGCCCGGGAGAAGGAGAGCTTCAACCTCAAGAGGGCCCAGGTGCGTGGCGAGGGCAGGCGCGGGCTCAGGGCCCCTACGAGGTTGCCCCCGCACTCAGCCGCGTCCCCTCTGGCCGCAGGAGGACATCTCACGGCTGCGGCGCAAGCTGGAGAAGCAGAGGAAGGTAGAGGTTTACGCAGATGCCGACGAAATCCTCCAGGAAGAGATCAAGGAGTACAAGGTGGGGCGTCCGACTGAGTCGTGTCCCGTCAACGTAGGACTCTTAGGGGGCTAGTGAGAATCTTCGGGGGTAGTCTGGGGACCCCTCAGGTGCAATGGGGGGGTGGGCAGATCCCTGGCTGTGGGGAGTCCGCTGACCAAGTGTGCTAAGTACCACAGGCCAGCCACAGGACCTGGCTGGGTGTGGGAGGCCGTCTCAGCCTCCTTGGCTCTCTTGAAACTGTTGGCAGAGGCACATGTTCTCCCTCTGGAATTGATGGGCAGTGGATGACAAAAGGGCAGCGTCGCTGTGGGAGCTCAGCTGGCCCTTCACCCAGATCTCGGGTTAGCAAGCTTTCCAGAAGCAGTAGCCCTGTGAAGAATGGGGTCCAGGGCAAAGGGGGCCCTGAGTTCAGAGAGCGGCACAGCAGAGAGCTGGGTGCCGGTGAGTGGACAGCACGGGTTTCATGGCCTGCTGCACGCAGGCGCCAGGGATGAACTGAATGTGTGGTAGGAGGTAAATGCTGAGAACTAGATTCCTAGCGTGAGAAATGGAGTCCGTGGCAGTGACAGGAGGATTGAGACTTTACAGGAGGTGGAGAAGGAGGGGCCTAAGGTTCTCTGGGAGGCTGGCTGGGAAGGCACTGCAGTGAAAGGACTGCTACGAGGGCAGGGGCAGAAACTGCAGCTCACAGCGCATGCACACACACCCCTATATACATCCATATTCCGGGGGCAGGGGTACAAACTACAGCTCACTCTGTACATACACCCATATTCCAGAGGTGGGTGTAGAAACTACACACACACACACACACACACAGAGGCTCTGGGGCTTGAGAAAGGGATAGGGAACCATTCTCCTTCAGCACACTCGGTGAGTAAGGCCTGATGAACGGAAGCGAACAGAAGGGCCAGAGAACGGTGTAGGGAGATGATGTGGTGGAGGGGCGACTTTTAAGAAGGTGCAAGCTGAGGCAGCTGCAGAGGCCCCCTGACTTCTGGAGCAGCCGTGGGAGTGCGGGTATGGTTCCAGGGTCAGATCCAGCAGCGCCCACCCAGTACACTGAGACCCTCTGAAGCCTTTTAGCCTTAGCGAGGCAGAGGCAGCCATGGGAGTACAGGAGAGTTTTGAGAGACCTTTGGAGCCTGTCAGGTGCTCTGAGATCTTGGGGCTGATTTGATTCTGAGGCCGTCAGCTGAGATTCCAGGCAGATTTAGGGCCAAGGAGAGATATTGGGCAATGCTGAAGTGAAGAAATGCTTTGGAGGTGAGACCCAAAAGCAGCTCTGGGGCTGGCTGGTAAAGCCTTTGTGAAGAGGAGTGGCTGTGGGGACCCAGAGGGTCTGGTGGCACTGCACACCCAGCCATGACTGGGCAGGGAGAGAGGTCAGCCTCAGCCAGGAGTGGGTTTTTGTCAGGGGCCAGAGTAGCAAATTGAAGCCCCACGGCAGAGCAGCTCCGGCCGAGCCCAGGTCAGGAAGCTGGCAAGGAACACAGTTACCCAGAACTCCTGGGTAACTTTCCCCACTTGCCGCTCTCTCGTTCTGAGAACTCGGCTCTGAACCTCCCGTTTCCTAACTTGGAGCGTGCTGGGCTACTCCCCGGGGTTTGGATGAGTCTTGGAGGCAGTTTGCTGTGTGATGAGCTTAGCCTGGATCGCCTCCTGCTGTCATTGTGGGGTGTGGGCCCTGTCGTGATTGTCGCCCAGCTGATGCCTTTGCCCGGCCCAGGCACGGCTGACCTGTCCCTGCTGTAACACCCGCAAGAAGGATGCAGTCCTTACCAAGTGCTTCCACGTTTTCTGCTTCGAGTGTGTTCGGGGCCGCTATGAGGCCCGCCAGAGGAAGTGCCCCAAGTGCAACGCCGCGTTTGGTGCCCACGACTTCCACCGCGTCTACATCAGCTGAAGCTGGAACCTGGAGGCAGTGCCCCCGCCCCTCCATTGTGGACCCTGTGGGCCCGGTCCCCCTACCCCCCCCCCCTTGGTATGGGGAGTCCAGTGCATGCTTCTGGGAGTGGACTCAGCTGCGCCCAGTTCATCTTTTCCTCGTGGCCACACCCCACAGAAAGGTTGGCTATGAGAGGTCTGAGGGCCACAAAACACTCATCTGAGCCTCCTGGGAGCTGCTCTCAACCCAGACCCAGCCAGCACTAGGGGGGAATTCTCCAGACTTTGACACCTCCCCCACTGCAGTGTCCTGTTTTCCCCCTCACCCCCCAACACATACACAGACTTACAAACTCCCAAGGAGGACCTGGGTCCTCATTCCTGCCTGAGACAGTCCTGTGTCCCAGGGAGACGCTCTTCCTCCCAGCTCAGACAGGGCTTCCCTCCCATGGGGTTCCCCTGTGCACTGTGGTAAGCTTTGGATGCTGAGTTGAAAGAGGTGCTCAGTAGTGGCACCATCCTCCCTCTGGACCACTCTGGCTGCTGCAGAGACTTGCTCTCGTCTTGGGAGTGCCAGGCCAGGAATGAGTTTCTTGGAGTCAGCCCCCTCCCAGTTTTTCTCAAGCCCACTTGCCTTCCTGGGAATCCCATTGTGCCACTGGGTCCTCAGCCCTGACTCCTTTGATCCTGGTGGCCTTAATTGCAATGGAGGCAGAACTTCCCCGAAGGCACAGAGTAGCACTGGGCCAACTTCTGATCATTCCAGGTAGAAAATCTTCATCGAACACCCTGTGACAAGCATGTGCCAGTGAAGCTTCCTGTGCAGGCCTGCCCAGACCAACTCTGGCTTGTGGAAGCAGCACCCAGGGCATGAGAAGTGGAGCTGCTGATGGTGCAAGATCCCTTTGGATCACAGCTCCTGCTCCAGTGATGTCTTGTAAAGGCTGTTAAATGTTACAATAAACACCCAACCCTCAGCCTGCTATCCTGGTAGCCAGGCTTCCTACCTCTATAAACAGGCAAGTGCATTGGCCAGTTTAATTTGTGAACTGGAGAGCCTGCTCAGAAGAGAGATGACATGTGGTCCAGGGGCCACAGCGATAGGTCAGGGGGCAGGGCTGCTGATCCGGATTATTCCATCCTCCGTATCCCAAAGGTCCCCCTAGTGTGGCTAGGTCTAATTCCTGAGCGCAGAGCCAAGAAGTAACACCCCTACCCCCAGCACTGCCGGGTATAACCCCTCAAAGCAGAAATACACTATCCAGCCCACTACCAACCCCCTAGTTACACCTAAACTTAATGGTCTTAAGGGACAGAGACTGCCCATTGAGGTAGACTGCAGGGGAATGGGCGTGGCCAGCTCTCAGGTGCCACCTGGTCCATCCTGCTCCCACCTGGAAATGCCCTTGCATCTGGGTCTCCCTGCGTGGGTTGCTACGCCCCTCGCTGTCATGGGACGCCTCGAGATGCATCTTGGGAAATGTGGTCCCTTGTTTGCGCCTGGGGCCCCCGGAGGGGACCGAGAAACTGGTTCTCCCGGTTGTGCGCGCTGATCTAGTCCCTCCCCCTCGGATAGAGCGATTGAGGCACGTTAAGGGGCTACTTCATTACAACAGGTGCTGGCGCCTTGGCACGTTCCCAGGCAGTGGGGCCGGCGCGCTAGAGCGTCCTCAGATGGCAGCCCTGGCCGTGGTTGTGCGGGGCCGTGGGTGGGAGCTCAGGTCGGGGCCGTGGCCGAAGACGTCAGCAGCCGCATCCCCCGGCGACCGCGCGATCCGAGCAGCTGCGGCGCCTTCGCGGGCGCCGGCGGCCTTGTCCGCTGCCCGCGGGGACTCCCCAGGACTGCCATGGCCCGGCCAGGTCGGAGTGGACATGGAGACGCGGGCGACGGTCACTTCCTGACCGGGGCTGGCGGCGGCGGGCGCGCTGGCCGAGGCACGAGCAGTGGCTGGGGATGGCATGGGGCGGCTGAGGAAGCGCCCTGGCCCGCGGGCCCTGGGGGACTCCTGGCATTGCGTCATAGAGCGCAGCCCCGCGCAGGTGGGGTCAGCCCTCCCTGCAGGCTACACTGGGCTTCCCTGACCGGTGTCTGCGGGCAGCGCTGGGGCCGCGCATGTTGGCAATGACCTGTCCAGGACCAGACAATATACTATGAGAGCTGGCCAGGCCCCTTAACCAAGCGAATTTTTTTGTTTATAGTTTTGGTTTGGGGGCCACAGCCAGGGATTCTTAGGGATCACTCCTGGATGGGCTCGGAACCATTTGGGGTGTCAGGGGTGGAACCCAGGTCAACCATGTGCAAGACAAAGGCCCTTCCTGCTGTACAGTCACTCTGACCCCTCGATTGGGAGATTTGATGTCCCCATAAGGTTCAGTATCCCCAGTACCTCATGGCGATGACTCCCAGTCCACTTTGGTCAGCGACCCAGGAGCAGGCTAAAGCTCTGGACCAGCATGGGGGGGGCTGGACTGGGGCAGCAGATGTTGGTGATGGAAAGGCCTGTTTCCACCAGAACTCGGGCTGCTGACTGTCCACAGTGCCCAGCAGAGCACTGGGCATCGATGCCCCATTTGACACTTCCCTTGGATCCATTGACACACTTAAGCACACACCTAGCATGGTGGACTCCCACCCCTGTCCTGCTGGGTTCATCCTGGTGAACCCCTGATTAACCTTTGGGTCCACCCTACCCTGAGCTCTTACCCCTGTTAAAACAACAGCAAAACCCCCTCGGTCCCTGTGGTACCACATTCCTGGGCACCCCATCGTGTTCGGTGTGCCACTTCCTCCACCCTAAAGCTATACCTTTCTCCCACCACTCTCCCTGGCTCTTTGTCCCAGCCACTGAGCTAACACCCTCTTCCTGCCCAATCTCTTTCCTTAGTGCCCATCTTAATATTCTCCATGGCGCCCCACTAAGGTGTGTCACACTCTGGCCTTGGTCTCAGTCCCTCACCCTCCTCACTGCTGCACTCCACTCAGGCCCCTCTGTTTACTGTCTCTCGGGTCACTTCCTCCTGCCATTTTCTGGCCCCTTGGATCCAACTATGGTGTCCCGGGCCTGTCTTTTCCTCACTCTACAGGATGCTGCCCCCTGTGTTGGGAGAAATCCTGACATTTCTCGAAGTCCCCAGGACTGGGAACAGGAATACTCTTCACTCTGACCTCAAGGCAAGACGGAGACTGTCCTGGGAGTGAGGGTCAGTCAGTTACCTGGCTGAGGCGCAACTCCCCAGCAGACTGGGACGGAGATGGGCACCAGATTAGAGCAAGTGCTGACCTCAAGCAGCCTTCGAGGGCCTGGGCCCGGCTGTGAGAGATGGTGCTGAGAGGAGCGCCCCGCCTGACCCAGACATTGTGGAGCTCAGGCAGGCCCAGACAGGCCCAGGGATGGGGGAGGAGTAGGACCTACAGAGGCAGCTCATGGCCGCTCGCTGGGGATTCTTGGCCAGGGACCGCCCTGAGCTTCCCCTGCAAGGGGATAAGAGGCCAGGGTTCCGCCTGCTTCTCAGGGTCTTGGAGGCTTTGCTTCAGAGGACACACCAGGCCAGCCCAGGGACCAGAAGTCACTCCCAGCTTCTAGGAGATGATAGGGACTTTCCCCTGTGGCAGTCTGGGGAGGATGAGGATGTGAGCACCCACTGGGCCTGAGCAGCAGGGCGAAAATCACCAAATGCTCCGTTCTGGTACCCAATCCTGAACTGCTCGATGTGCCACCATCTCTCCCCTGGTCTCCCAAGTCCCTGGGTTCCCCTCGGGTGCCCACCAACAAGCACTGGCTGGGAATTTTAGAACTGAGAGGATCCTGCAGCCTGGACATGGCCAGGTCATGCCTGAGCCCTGGTTCGGGGACAGGACCAGCTTTTCCAGCGTGCTCTGGGCTTGAGAGAGAAGACAAAACACGTTGGGAATCTTATCCCCTTTATTCTCTTCAACTAATCAACATGACCACCAGTGACACAACACTGTTATTGACACACAACACTCAAAGTGGGGCCTCTCTTCATTCTAGGGGGCAACTCAGGTAAGTGGGGTTTCCTTCATGGGAAGTGAAGGAGAACAGGGGCTCCTTCACTCAAGGCAGCCCCCTCAACTGTGATGGTTTCAAGTCCCCAGCCATTCAGGCTCCATGCTCGTCTTTGTGTTCCCATGACACTGTTACCTAAGCTCAGGTCTGCTTCCAGCCTCCCCAGTGCTTTCTCCAACACTCCATGACCGCATTTATCAGACCTCTCCCTGGGAGCACGTGGGCAGTGTGTGGAATCTGCATGGACAGGAGGTTTTTGCCTTCCCAGCTCAGTTCTGGTTGCCAATGCAATCTCTGGCTCCACCTGAGCTGGTCAGAAGGAGCCTCAGTATGTCCATCCCAGCCAGTGACGCCGGCTTTGCTCTTCCTGAGATGTGCTCCCTTTGGGAGTGAAAACTGGCTCAAGGAGTTTGGGGGAGGTGGGTAACAGAGCAAGTCACATACCCCAACCCCGACTCACGTCCACGTCATGCATCCAATCCCAGAGGCGAAACCCTGGGTCACTCACCCCTACCACATGCGAGCATCCTACTACATTTGCTACAGCCTAGTCCTCGAGGCCTCACTCGGCCACACCTACCACCGCTGATCCCTCAGAGGCTGTTGGCCAAGACTCTTCTAGAGCTTTCTGAGGTCTGCATCTAGCTTTCCGTGGTTTGTCTCTACAGCTAGAGTTCCTGTCTACTACCATCTGAGGAGAACTCTGCTCGAACCTGAAGGATTGTCTCCTCCTCTCTCTCATAGGGACCCTTTGCTGCCTGCAGATGTTGCTCCCATTCAGCAACACGCTCCGCCAGGCCCTTTGCTGAGGAGGCCTTGCTCGACGCAGATGTTGGCAAGGATCTCCCTGCAATCACATAAGTCCCGCTGTTTCTGCCCAGTGGGCCTGGGTCCTTCCTCCAAGGGTCCTACCTTGGGGAATATATGGTGGTGGAAGACCCTTTGCACTTGCCAATGTAGAATTAGGGTTCTCTCCCACAGCTCGGTAGGAATCCGCAGGCATTTCCTTATGGACTCAGTACTGGATGGTGTCCTCTCCCTTAAGGGGCTCCAGGGTGGGGTTCTTGTCTCAGGAGCTTTCTCCATCATTAGAAAGGGGAACAGTCTTCCCTCTGCTGTGGGCCTTGCTAATGACAGTGTTGGGGGGGTTGTGGTGTGAGGACGGGATCTGGCCCAGCAGAGTGCTGCTCTCATCCTCCCTTCCCCTCTGCAGGATCCCTGCTGAGGAGACTCCCCAAGTCAGGACAGGAGACTGTCCCCACTGCAGGATGCCTGAACAGACTAGATCCCTGCAGGCTTGGCTCATCCTGCTAGCAGCCAGGCTCCAAGGCTGCTCAGAGGAGCGCGGTGGGAAAGGAGGCCGCTGGGAGGCAGAGCTCGCCCTTCTACTGCTCACATCCCGCGTGGGCCTGGCGAGAAGCCGCTGCAGGGCTGAACCATACACAGGCCCCAGGCTCTGTAGGGCTTTATTCTTTGGAGGTCAACTAGCGGAGCTTCTTCTGCATTGAGGACAGGATGCGAGGAAATGGTCCCCACTGTCGCAAGGCTGGTGGCGGTGAGACCTGAGAACATGGTGGGGACACTGCACCTGGAGGCCTCTGAATAGAATCAGGGCTCGTGCCAGGCGCAGAGGACCCTGGCCGTCTGACCTGGGGCTGCTTGCACTTGAATTAGCTTCAGGAAGTGGAGGGATTGGGGTGGGGGGGAGGTGGTCTGGGGTTTGCTGGATTCCAGCTGAACAGTTTTTCCACCTATTTGTTTTCCTTAAAGCACACAACAGAAACTCATCGCTTCCCCTAATTTTTGTGGGTATCAGTATTAGTACACTTCAGCCTTGAAAAGCCTGCCGTCATTTTTTTTTCCTTCCCCATTTTTGAGTTCTTTCGGATATGAAATCCCATGGGCCTCTTCCTCCCCTCCCCCCATTCACAACTCATTGCAAGGTGCTCTTATGCCCCAAGAACCCTAATGCAACAAGCTCAGCTCTTCCCCCAGCTCCTGGGGCTACAGAGGGCAACCTCACCATTCCCTGTCCCAGGGCTGAGCCTCCTCTGTCCCTTGGTCGAGCACTTTTCTCAGTGACTGTTAATTGTCCAAGAGTTCTGGATGCTGCGCTGTGGGGGAGCCCGGGCCGTGCCAGCCTGCGCTTCCACCTACAGTTCCACACGGATTCCAGACGGCTTATAGGGTTGCCTAGAGACAAACTGGGGCCTCGTCCTACAATTAATAGGGCTTTTATCCACTATGGTTTATCGGGATTTTTGGCTACAGACTTAAAGGGCTTTTTTTATTTTTCCTACGTAGAGGGTTTCTAACCCAAGAGATTTTCTCTACTGCCTTGTTCCCACCAACAATTTCGTATGGGTTTTCATCACTGATGTAAAAACACTATTTTTTACCCGGGGTTCCTTATCCTCCATTTCCCTACAAGCTGCTAGAGTTTTTCTCCTTCCCCCATGATTTCTGGGGTGATCCAGTGTTCCTCTCAGGATAGAAAGGTGCCCAGACCTGCTCAGAGGGGCACCCCAGGGTGACAGCTTCTGTGGAGCAGGAGGGCTGCGACTTCTGAGAAGCCGTCACCACACTCAGGGCACAGATAGGGCTTTTCTTCCAACAAGGTTTTGGGGTTTTCCCCTTTCCCATGGCTGCTGCTCCCTGTGGGGGTAGGGGACTTGCCCTCCCCCTCCGGACTGGTGGGCCTAGGGGCCGGCTCTGGAAGGGGGTCCTCTTGTCTGGGGGGCTTTCCTGGCATGTGGGCCTCCTGGTGGCGGATGAGGGCCAGGCGATCGAGGAAGGAGGCCCCGCAGTCGGCACAGCTGTAGGGCCTGGCCCCCAGCGGACTCCGGAGGTGCTCCAGGAGGACGGAGGAGCTCTTTCCCACGTCGCCGCTTTTCTGGGCCTTGCCCCCAGCGTGCACTTTCTGGTGTAGCAGCAGCTCCGAGCTGAGCGCGAAGCTTTTTTTGCATTCGGGACATTTAAAGGGTTTCCCGCCTAGGAAAGGGCTGGGGCCTGCCCCTTCCCGGAGGCCGGTCCTACCCTCGGGAAAGTGAAAGGGCTTTTCATTGCCGTGGGTGATCTGGTGCTGGAGGAACACAGCCCGATCCTGAAAGCTCTCCCCGCAGTGCGAACAAATGTAGGACTTGGAGGAGGGCGGCGCGGGCCTCTCCTGCCCATCCGGGGTTTTTAAGGGCTGTCCTGGGGGATCGCCCCTGCCCTCTGAAGCACCTGCATAGGAATTCCCCCCAAATGGAAGCCTGGGGGGACGCAACTGGGGAGGTTTGGGGGCTGGGTGTGCCCCGAGGCCGTCGGCGTTTTTGTAGGGGTTTTCTCCGATGTGGATCCGCTGATGCTGCAGGAAGATGCCCTCGTCGTTGAAGCCCTTCCCGCACACGAGGCATTTGTGGGGCTTGGCGCCAGGGGGCGGGGTGAGCAGGGCGGGGTCCCCGAGCCCCAGCAGCGTCTCCCCCTGAGCGCGCCGCGCGGGGGTCTTCCCGCGCTCATGAACCACCCGGTGCTGCTCCAGCTCGTGCGCCTCCAGGAAGGCCTTCCCACAGTCGGAGCACACGAAGAGGTTCTCGTCCATGTGCGTGCGCACGTGCGTGATGAGGTTGGAGCTCTGGCTGAAGCTCTTGCCGCATTCGGGGCACTTGTAGGGCTTCTCGCCCGTGTGCGTGCGCCGGTGCTGGATGAGGTGCGAGCTGCGGATGAAGCTCTTGCCGCAGTCGGAGCACTTGTAGGGCTTCTCGCCCGTGTGGATGCGCTGGTGGCGGATGAGGGTGGAGCTCATGATGAAGCTCTTGCCGCAGTCGGCGCAGATGTAGGGCCGCTCGCCGCGGTGGATGCGCTGATGGTTGATGAGGTTGGAGCTGACGCTGAAGCTCTTGCCACACTCCGGGCACTTGTAGGGCCGCTCACCCGTGTGCGTGCGCTGGTGCCGCAGCAGCGTGGCGCTCAGCGTGAAGGTCTTGCCGCACACGGGGCACTTGAAGGGGTCCTCGCGCAAGTGAGTCCGCTGGTGCTTGATGAGGGTGGAGCTGTGGCCGAAGCTCTTGCCGCACTCCAGACACTCGTAGGGCTTCTCGCCCGTGTGCGTGCGCTGGTGCTGGGTCAGCTCCGAGCTCTGGATGAAGCTCTTGCCGCACTCCGTGCAGCGGTACGGCTTCTCGCCCGCGTGGATCTTCTGGTGCTTGAGGAGGTTGTGGTTCTGGCCGAAGCGCTTGCCGCACTCGGGGCACTTGTAGGGCTTCTCGCCCGTGTGCGTGGCCTGGTGCTGGATGAGGTCGGAGCTGCGGTAGAAGGCGCGCCGGCACTCGCCGCACTTGTAGGGCTTCTCGCCCGTATGTGAGCGCTGGTGCTTGATGAGGTTGGTGCTCTGCGTGAAGGCCTTCTCGCACTCGGTGCACTTGTAGGGCTTCTCGCCCGTGTGCGTGCGCTGGTGCTGCACCAGGTTGGAGCTCCAGCTGAAGCACTTACCGCAATCGGGGCACTTGTAGGGCTTCTCCCCCGTGTGTGTGCGCTGATGCTGCACCAGGTGCGAGCTCTGCGTGAAGCTCTTGCCGCACTCGGAGCAGGTGTTGGGCCGCTCACCTGTGTGGATGCGCTGGTGCCGCAAGAGCTTGGACCACTGGCTGAAGCTCTTCCCGCACTCGTTGCAGATGTAGGGCTTCTCGGCCCCAGCCGGCCGGCCCTGCACCAGCTCGCGAAGGCTGGGCTCGCTGGCTGCCACGGCCGCGCTGTTCCAGGTGGTCAGAGTCCCCCACTGCCAGCTGGCCTCACAGGCCTTGGTCCAGTCAGAGGGGGAGGGGACAACCTCAGGGGTGGGGGAGTCCAAGGGCCTGGGGTGACCCACTGGGGTGGGGGAGTCCGGAGGGTCTGAGGGGTCCTGGGAGGGTCTCTCCAGGGGCATCTCTTGTGGGTCCTTGAATTCTGGACTCTCATCTGGATCTCCCATGATGACCTCCTCCCCAGAACTTTCCCTCTGGGGGCTCTCCTCTTCGTTCCCACTGTCGGTACCTACAGAAAGAAAGGGAGTCTCCAGCCCCCATCTCCTCCCAGACGCGGGGCCAGTTCTCTCTTCCCGCCCCTGGGTCACCCTCCCCGGACCAGCCCACTGGTGTCCCTCACCTCTGTGAGCAGTGCTGGGGCTCTGTTCCGGATCATCCTGCAGATCTGGGCCCCATAGCACGGTCTCGGGCTCCATCCCAGAGCTCAGGGCTGCCCCGCCTCCCGGGGACCCTGCAGGAGAGAGAAATGTGTGCCCCGTGGGAGCTGATCCCTGTCCTCCTTCTTCTACCCACCTGTGCTCGCTGGGCATCCCTGCTTTACTCCTTTCCTGCCACTTTCCCTTTCACCCCTCCATCCCACCCCATGGGCCTGATTCCTGCTCCAGCACTTAAGATCACAAGTAAGCAAGTAGGGGAATTTAAGAGTGTAATTAAAATCTCATCAGTCATAACCATTTGAACTCGGAGTGAAGGCTGGAGAGGTATCTGACAGCCACAGAAGGCAGCTTTCACCCCCACACCTCTAATGCCCAGAGGCTGGGAAACCTGTTATTTTGCTAATCAGAGGAAGCTCATTAAGACTCTAATTTTCCTCCTTAATAGGGCTGCTAATTGGGACTAATAAACTTCCCTTCTGAGCCCCACAGAGAACTGACACTCTGACACTGCATGGAACACTTAAAGAGTTAAAAAAATTTTTAAAAAAGACAAAAGACAAAACCCACCCCATTCCTTGAGGGGCCAGGGCCCCCCAGGATGACTGGACTGGGCAATCCCCGTTATCCAAGCACAGAAAGGTCTGGGGAGGGGGGGCAGTTAGAAGTCATCAGGGGCTTCTGCAGGAACTACCTTGAGAGGAAAATGCAAAGGAAAAGAGACCAGCGGGCAGAGAACACAGGACCCGTCATGTGTCCTTATGAGCTCACCCAACCCTCCCGCCACCCCACCAGCTGACCCAGGGGCTGGACTGTCCATTTTACAGAAACACCAGGAAGATTTTGTCAAGGTCATAGACTGCCAGCCAAGTGGCAGGACTAAGACAAGAAATGCAAGCTTCTGTCTGGCTTGCCTCTGCCTCTTGGAGAGGGAGATGACCTTGGAAGTCACGTGAAACTCAAATATGGGTAGCTGGCGGGAGACAGGTCATGAGGATAGCTCAGACAAGAGCCTGTGGTCAAGAAAATGGGATGGAGAAATTCCTGGGACCAAGATGTTTCCTTGACTGCTTGGCTGGAAGGGGACTTGGTCAACTGTCAGCATTTTTAAACTTTCCCATCACTGGGCCCGTTCTACTGCCCTGCTGCCACCGTATCCAATCCGAGAACTGTTCCTAACACTTAACCACTACTCAACAAATGTCCAGTGATCAAAAGCTGAAGGAACAAGACGGCCCTGGCCCCGGGAAGATTGTCTGACCCAGTGATTTCAAGGCCAGTTTGTGAAGGAGCCAGAGTTCAGAGTGGCTCCCTGGTGAGACACGGGAGCTGTCAATCCACAAAGAATGGGCAAGGGGACAGGGCCACAGGAGCTAAGTGCTAGGAGAAGAGCTTCCCATAAGGGCCTTCAGAGCCCCTGGGTCCTCCAAAGGGAACAGGATTAGGGTGGCCTATGGGTGGCCACTGGTTGCTGGAAGATAAGGTTGAGGAGCAGCGTCCTGGAGGTGACCGAAGTGGGGGCCAGTGCAGCCCACAAACGCAGGAGAATGTGAATGAATCTGTCAGCCCTGCAGGCCCTCAGACTAGGAGAACACCCCCTCCTGCCTGTGTCTCTGAGGAGACGGGAGCAAGGGAGATCTGTCAGCTCTGGGGCTTGCCGGGAAGGTGCCCTGCTCCCTAAGGGACAGATTCGCGGGCTGTCTCTGGTGGACTAACTGGCAGCGTGCAGAGGTGGGAAGGGGTTAACGAGAAGGCCGGACAAGGAGGAGCGTGGACGCCAGGCCACTGCAGCACCCCCTCGCAGGCCCAGGCCCTGAGCCCCCTGGGTTCTCCTGGGACCTCCCAATGCAGAGGGCGGGTGGAATGGGGCGGCCCAGGGTGACCCTGACTTGCAGGCGGGTGCGGGAAGGCACCGGCCACCCCTCACCCCGCACCAGCCCGGCCCAGGCTCCTTGGGCTCCCGACAGCTCCCCGCGACCCCCTCGGACGCTCCAGCAGAGCCCCGCATCCGCGCCCACTGGAGCCCCCAGCCGCCCGCTGTCCGGCCCTCCCGCAGCGCCGGCCGCCAGCCAGGTTCCCCCTTCCCAGAATGCCCCCGCCTCGCCCCCCCCCGCGACCCCCGCTTCCCAGAATCCCCGGGCCCGCGCCGCCCCGCGCCGCCCCCACCCGGGCCCCCGTGCGCGCGGGGATGGGGGGGTGCAGGCCCGGCGCGCCCCGCCGCCCGCGCCCCATTGTTCCCCCGCGGCCGGCCTGGGCCCTCCGGGCCCCCTCCCAGCGGGCACCCCGGCGCCCCCCACTCACGGCTCTTGGGGTCTGGAAACACCCGCAGGCGGACTCCAGCCCCCAGGGACTTAACCCCTTCACCGCCCTGCCTCGGGGGCGGGCTGGACGCCGAGGACTCCGGGGTCCTTCTCAAGGGGTGATCCCAGGCTGAGGACCCGGGGACCAGTTCAGGGTGACTGGGACGGAGCAGGAAGTGACCCCAGCTTCCCGGGCCCCTCTAGCCTGGAGTCAGAGCATCAGCTCTATGGGATTTAACCCTTTGGCTCCCACAGCCTGGAAGGAAAAAAGAGAAGACGAGGAAACTGGAAGGTAGAGAAGACCCAGCCCCCTCCCTCTTTCTGAGGGGAGCAGGTTGTTGGGGGGGTTCCCCAGAGGCCAGTAAGGGTCTAGTAATCCCTGGCTGCTCTCTACCTAGCAGGGGCTGGGCCAGATGTCTGGGGTGCAGGCACCTGACCTTGGCTGGACTCAGACGCGGCGGGGGTCGATGCCTGTGTTCTGGGGTGAGAGCCCAGGATGGAGGAACCCTGCACAGGAACATCCTCCCGCCTGCAAACGCTTGTGGCAGCATCCGCGGCTGAGGGAGCAGGAGGCAGTGAGCACGCACAGCCCTGCTCCAGCCCTCTCTCCCAGGCTGTTGGGTGGCCCTTCTTCCCAGCGGGCTCCTGAGGGAGGGAGGCAGCAGGCCCTGGAGGGAAGTCAGCAGGGACCCCTGACCTAGCAGAGCAAGGACCTTTCCTGCAGTGCAGGGGCGCCCAGCTCATTTATTTATGTTTGGGGGTCACACCCGGCAGTGCTCAGGGCTTATTTCTGGCTCTGAAGTCAGGGGTCACTCCTGGTGGTGCTTGGGATTCTATATCGGGTTGAACCCGAGCCAGGCGTGTACCAGGCAAGTGCCTTACCTACTGTACTAAAGGATAAACATTTTTGTTTGGGGACCACACTCAGAGTTCACTCCTGACAGGCTAGGGGGGCCATATGAGGTGGCAGGATCAAACCAGCAAAGCATGGTTACTCTTGCTCCAGCCCCCAAGGACAAATTTTTTAAATCCCATGAATGGGGCCCGGAAGAGAGTTCAATGTGCTGAGCACCTGCTCTGCTTGCAGGAGGTCTGATCTGACTCCAGGAATTGTGGGGTCCCCTGAGCAGTGCTGGATGTGCTCTACTCCATACAAAATAGCAGCACCAGGGTTGGAGCAATAGCACAGCAGGTAGGCCATTTGTCTTCCATGCGGCTGACTGGGTTCAATTCCCAGCATCCCATATGGTCCCCTGAGCACCGCCAAGAGTAATTCCTGAGTGCAGAGCCAGGAGGTACCCCTGTGCATCGCCAGGTGTGACCAAAAAAAAAAGTGCCATTCAGGGATCACCAGGATCCAGACAACATTGCACCGCACCCCAATTTTAGAATTTTGGGGGGATGGGAAGTGAGCCTCAGGGTGATACTCAGGGGTTACTACTATCTCTGCATTCAGGAATCACTCCTGGTGATACTCAGGGTCCATATGGGATGCCAGAGATCTTGGGTCAGCCACGTGCAAAGCAAACACCTTATGGACCCCAATTTCAGAATCTTTATCATTTATTCCCACAATCCATTGAAGGGGACCTATATATTATCCTCATTTTTGTGGAAAGAAAACCATGAGAAAAATGAGACTGAAGGTGGCAGGTAGGTGGGGCCAGGGGGCTGGCAATGAGCTCTTGGGAAGTAATGAAACCAAGATGGAATTTGAAGTAGTTACTCTGTCACTAGCCCTAAAAGCATTATTGCTGGATTCACTTTTTGGTCACAGAAACAGAGGTCTCATAAGACTGGTTTTTGTTTTGTTTTGGTTTCTTGTGCCACATCCAGCTGTTTCTAGGCTAACTCTAGATTTTGTGCTCAGGGATCACTCCTGGTGGACTGAGGGGACCGTATGGGGTATTGGGAATTAAACCTGATTCGGTTGCATGCCAGGTGCTCTACCTGCTGTACTATGGCTCTGCCCCCTCATAAGACTCTTTTTTTGTTTTTTGCTTTTTGGGTGACACCCGGCGATGCCTAACCCTGAGGGTTACTCCTGACTCTGCACTCAGGAATTACCCCGGTGGTGCTCGGGGGACCATATGGGATGCTGGGAATCGAACCCGGGTTGGCCGCGTGCAAGGCAAATGCCCTACCCACTGTGCTATCCCTCCAGCCCCCCTTATAAGACTCTTAATTGGCACCAGCACAGGACCCCTCCAGAGAGAAAAGACCCTCCAGCAGGAACAAAGGGTTGTGAAAGTGGACACCTAAAGTGTCAAGCTCTTCCCCTTGACACGGTCAAAGGACTCTTTTTTTTTCTTTTTGGGTCACACCTGGCAATGCTCAGGGGTTTCTCCTGGCTTTGCACTCGGGAATTATTCCTGGCGGTGCTCAGAGGACCATATGGGATGCTGGGGATCGAACCTGGGTCATCTGCGTGCAAGGCAAATGCCTGCCACACTGTACTATCGCTCCAGCCCCCAGACTCTTATCTAGGTAGGAAGCCCCACAGAGGAATGGGGGTGCAACCTCCAAAACCAACTCTGCCAAGGCAAGGAGGAGCCTCCCCGTTCTCTGGGGTGGCCCCAACTCTCCCTGAGATGTGGACTCTCTCTCTGCCTCTGGAGAAGCCCACTTCTCTCTTGAATGCTTGAATCTTCACTATTCATTTCCTGAAATTCTTTTCTCTGAGGGAAAACAACAAACCTAGAAAAACCTGGGTAAGACTGAGGAGTGGCTTTCCTGGGAAGAGCAATTCCTCTCTTCAGCCTGAGTCTACGACTCCATGAGAATTTGGGTGGATCATTTCCCACACAGTGCAGAACAAGTGGATTTCAGGCGCAGTTTGTCAGCTGCCTTGAGGGGCTGGGGAGACGTGAGCATCTGTGCCATGCAGGGGCTCATCATCAGCCCTAGATTCCTACGCCCTTCCTGGGTGACCAAGGTGGATAGAAGGAGGGGGGACTCCCTTCTCAAGGCTGCCACCTCTCTCTCCTCCCCATTTCACCTAAGCCACCTGCAACATAAGGCTGCATCGTTGATTGAGCACATTTGTATTCTGATGTCTGTGACTCCTAAGCACTGCATGGACGTAGATGAGAGGAGAGCAAGGCTCCCTGCCCTTGAGAAGTTTGATTGTGTGTGTTGTAGACACACAAATTGCAGGACAATGTTCAAAGGCTTGCCTGTCCAGAGACATGGGGAAAGCAGGGATGAAGCCAGCGTAAGTCAGAAATTGCTAGATGAGCCAGACCAATAGAAGAAGAGC